TCGACCAACCGCCCAACCCAACCCTCCCGACCCACGCCCCCCCCCCCCCTCCCCCCCCACCCCCCCCCAACCCTCAACACCCTCCCTTCCCCACACTCGCACATGCGATTTGCACCACACCCCAACCCCAAACTCCAACCCAGACCAATGCTTCCACCACCGCCACCTGTCGCCCACCAGCCCCCTTCCCCCCCCCCCCCCCTGCTCCTTCCAGACACATGGCCACCCTTCCAGACGGCTGGGAGGCCCGGTTCAATCCCGAGACCAACTCGACGTACTACGTCGACCACAACACCCGTACCACACACTGGGAGCTCCCTGGCGCTGCCACGGTGGCTTCCTCCGCCTCAACTGGCTCGGCGTCAATGCGCCCCGATGGACGACCCTCGCCGCCGGACGTTCCGCCAGGCTGGGAAGCCCGCTGGGACGCCACCTACGCCCGGTACTACTTCTTCAACCTTGTCTCGCTCGAGTCGGTGTGGGAGCTTCCGCTCGCCGCCGCCCTTCCGCCCGGCTGGGAGGAGCGCCACGATCCGAGCTCCGGCCAGCCGTACTACGTCGACCACAAGAGCCAAGCCACCCACTGGTCCATGCCACCAGAAGCCTACGCTGCCACCCAGTCGAGGCCACAGCCACAGAACCTGCCGGCGTACGCGGGTAGTACCTACACCGGCGCTGCCACCGGCGCCGCCACAGCGCATCCGCCGGCAGCCGATGCTGCCGCCAATGAGGAAGCCCGCGCCCTCATTGCGTCTGCGCTCGGCAACCTGCGCGAGGCCGTTGAGCGTGGCGACTCGACTGGCGCGGCCCTCTTTGTCAACCGTATCGAGCAGGAGTTGGAGCCGCTTGAGCGGCGCGACGGAGGCCAGGCCGCATACGCCGCCGACATCCGCGCTCAGATCGGCGAGCTCCAGGTCCGCCTGCAGGAAGTCGGCTACCAAGCCGAGTTCACCCGCGTCTCCAACACGCTCCAGCAGCTGGTCGGCGAGCTTGAAGCCGCCGTCGCCTCGCAGGCGGTCGAGGACGCCGATGCCCGCGCAGCCGCGGCCCGCGCCCTCATCGACTCGTCACGCGACTCACTCTCCCAGTCGATGGAGGGCCGTGACCTCCTCGCGGCGCACTCCTCGCGGGTCGACGAGCTGCTCAGTGCTCTTGCCAACGTCAAGAAGCTCACCCGCTACTCCCGCATCATCGGCGACGACCTCGCCGCCCTCCGCGCCGCCGTCAACCGCGCTGACGAGGCCGACGCCGCCCGCGCTCGCACCCATGCCGTCGACACCCTCCAGCAGCTCCGCGATGAGCTCGGCTCCGGTCAGCCGCCCCCGCAGGTGACGCAGTTCTACGAGGCCACAGAGGCTATGCTAGTCGAGCTGGACGCCCAGCTCGAGACTGTCGTCCTCGCCGCAAAGGTTCTCGACGCCGCCGCCGCTGTCGACACCACCTCCGCCGCCCTCGCCTCCGCCGCCACCGCGCTCGACGAGCCGGCCTTTACAGCCGCCGCCACCCGCCTCCGCTCCCAGCTCGAGGCCATGGGCCGACTCGTCGCCGACGCGCCGCCCAGCTCGTCTGACGTCCTCTCGCATGTCCAGGCTGTCTCGGACGGCTGGGCCTTGCTCGAGCGCGAGGAGGCTCGCTTTGCCGAGCACATGCGCGAAGCCCGCATGGCCGAGCTCCGCGGCAACGTCGAGGCGCTGCAGGCCAACTGCAACGCCTGGGCCAGTGCTGGTGACTTTGACTTTGTCGAGCCAGCCAAGCGCCAGATCGTGCAGGAGCTCGTCCGCAACTATCAGCTCTTTGCCGACATGGACGACGGTCAGCGGTACATCGACGACCTCCTGCTCTGGGTTGGCCGTGTCGACGCCGCCGCTGCCGCCGCCAAGCTCGGCGTCAGCCTCCCGCCGCTCAACCCTGGAGCCCACCCGTCCGTCCCGAGCGCGTCGTTCCCGCCAGTCACCGCAGCGACTGCACCGTCGACACCCGCCGCCTCATCAGCGCCGCCGTTCGCCTCGTCACCGGCGCCGGCGTCGGGCATGCCGTCGGCTGATCCGGGCCTCGATGCCGCCGCTGCCGCACTCCCACCTGGATGGGAGGCGCGGCGTGATCCGTCGAGCTCGCGCCTCTTCTACGTCAACCACCGTGACCGCACCACATCATGGACACCGCCGCAAGCCTAGCGCACACATGCTCCCTTTAAACCTGCCATTACACCGCCACATACGCCCCTGCCCCGCCCGACGACCGGGCCTTGATCACAATAAAGGCGAGGCCGGCGGCAGCAGCAAAACCGATAAAGAGCGAAATGAACGAGACCGCGTACGGCCCGGCCAGCGAGGTCTTGGCCGGCGCCGGGATTGGCGAAGGCGCAGCCGGGGTCACGTCCTTGGGCTCGATGACAAACAGGCCGTGCTGCATGTCCGAGACATAGATGTACGGGTTGGGATCGCCGTAGCCGGGCCACACGCCCCAAGCGCCACCAAAGCCTACCTTGAGGTGCGAGGTGTCGTACTGGCCGGCAACAACCGGGTGGACTGGGTCGGAAATGTCGTACACCACAACGCCCTCAGTGTAGTAAGAAATCCACAGTTCATCCTCGCCCTTGACAAATGCGTTGTGCGCTGAGACGCCGTCGTTGTCCTTGACGATGTAGATCTCATTGACCTCCTTAACCGCGTGCACGTCGCGGATGTCAAAGATGGTCACCGGCGAGCCGATGTCCTCGTGGGTCACATACAGGTACTCGTTGTTGAGCGTCGGCCACGCGTTGTGAGTCAGCTTGTACGTCGTCGGCCAGATCGAAATGGTCTCCACGCCAGCGCCGGCAGGGTCGTTGACGCCGAGAAGGAAGAGCGAAGGGTTCGGCGGCGTCTCGTTGATGCCGCACGCGTAGAGGACGTACCCGGCGTCCTCACGGTACTGCACCACCAGGTCGTGGACGTAAAAGTCGCCCCAGGTGGCAATCGACACCGGGTTCTCTGGGTCAGACAGGTCATAGACCCGGATGCCACCGGCAGACGCCATGCCCTTAGTCACGTCGCCGCCGCACACGTACGCGTACGGCCGGTCCGTCTCGATAAAGATGTTGTGCGCAAACTCAAAGTCGCTGTTGTCGCGCTTCACCTCTTTGGGCGTCCGCGGGAACGAGACGTCGATGACAGAGAGTCCGTCACCGGTCTTGTACGGCTCGAGATACGTCGGGTCCACGTTGGTCAGCGAGTCGATGAACGCCTGCCCGTACATCGAGTCGTGGACCGAGTAAATGTAGTTCGAGTACGCCTTGTGGTCGCGCCAGATGGAAAAGTAGCCCTTGAAGAACGCCGCCGAGACCGGCGCCTGCGGCACCGTCGTGTCGAGAATCGAGACTCCGTTGCCGGCGCCCACCACCGCCAGCGTCATCCCGGTCTCCTGCGAGTAGTAGCCCCACACGTCGTTGACCGGCGTCGTGCCCTTGGCAGAGTCCAGGAAATCGTTGACAATGTCCAGCACCTCGTAACCGAGTGCAGACCGGTTGCCTGGCCCCACCTCGTTGGCGTACTCCAGCCCGACCTTGACAAACGATTCCACGTCGCACTCGACCGTGTGCCGCATGATCTCCACAGGTACCGGGCAGACCGTCACCAGTGCCTCCGTGTTGCCGGTCAGCAGCTCAGTATCTGTCCACACACACCACACACCACACATCTTTGAGTGAGACACACTCTTGCCCTTCCCCATCAACCCGCTCCAACCTGCTCCCATCACGCCGTCTCCGCCACCTACACTTGTGCACACCGACCACATCCAGGTCGAGGCTCTTGGCACCCACAGCAGGCTGCGCCACAAGCAGAGCCACTGCAGCAAGCAAAGCCACCGTAGCCAGATCCTTCATCATGGTGAAGACGTGTGTCTCACACAACCATACCTAGTCCTGGTCGTGGCCGTGCGGGGGCGGCTCGGCTGTCACCTTTGCCACCACTCGCCCCCGCCCGCCAGCAAGCACGTGACCGCCGCTGTCAGGCTCTCACCATCCGTCACCAATATTGTTGGTTGAGACGCGGAGAGTGCGGCGGAATGGCCCGAATCCGGTTGGCTCAGCAAGTGAAAATTTGGACGGCCTTCCGGCAAAACCACCGAGTCATGCGTGCAGGCCATGTCACACATATCGCTGTACTTGTGATGCTCCCTCCCTCCCTCCCTCCCTCCCTCCCTCCCTTCCCCCTGCCCCCCCCCCTCTTCTTGTCTGCCACACCACCGCCATACCAGTTCCATGGCGATGCTCTGTCTGACGCATGACTTGCTTTGCTTCTCTTCTCCGCTTGCCGCACGCCTGCGGTTGCAACCAACCCAAGTACGCGTGTTGCCAACTCCGCCCCAGCCTTAACTGCCGACCCTCGCGCTCAACTGCCGCAGCCACACTCCTCGCCCCCCCTCCCCCCCTCCCCCCGCCGCCCAAGACCTTCCCAACCCATCAAGACTCGGCTGTGGGGGAATACCTTGCTCTCCGTCGTAGCTTGTCCTCGTCTACGCCCTCCCGCCTGGCTAAGCACCGCATTCCAATCGTTGCTGTGTGAGAATGTACTCGGTAGCGGCGTCGTCCACGAACCGAACAACGTCCTCGGGCTCGTTGTCGGACACCGACAATTCACTGCTCTCCGAGCTGGATGCCATCGATGAAGCGCTGCTTGGCGAGACGACGCAGACACGGATTGAGACCATTCTGGCCGCTGTCGAGACGTTCGCTTTTAATGCTCTCTTTGCCATCGTCTCGCGCACCTCATCACTCCGCATTGTCTCCATCCTTGTGCTGCTCATCGAGTTTGGCCAGCTCGCCGCCTTTGCCTTTGCGCCCATCTTTGAGTGGGGCCCATGGGCCGACTCATCGCTCCAACCTGTGCTCTCGGTCCTCTCGCTGCGAGTGGTTTTCTCCTCGTTCCACATCTTCCGGCTCATCAACTTTGCTGTGTACGCAGCGCTCATCGCAGCAGCCTGTGACGCTGCTTATGTCGGCCTTGCCCTCCGCGACCACTCACGGTCCAAGATCTGGCCGTTGCGACTGCTGCGGTACGCCGTCGGCTTTGCGGTCACCGTCCTGTACATTCCGATCATGAGCGTCCTCCTCACGCCGCTCGCTTGCGACTACGAGGCCGAGCCGCCCGTCCTCCGTGACTACTCGGACGTCGGGTGCTGGGAGGTCGAGATCACAGCCTACCGCATGGTCTCAAGTGTCCTTGCGCTCGTCTTTCTTATGGGGACGGCGGCTCTGTCGCTGGTGTACTTTCAGGACGCGCTCGGATCGGGGCACTTGCTCGCGCGGCCACACGCGCGGGTCGACTGCGCCACCCATGTGGTCAAGACGGTGCTTTTGTTTGGGTTTGCGACCGGAGCTGGCTCGCCCGGGGTGCTCGGCGGTCTTCTTGTGGTCACTATGATCTCCATCTTTGTGCTGCAGGTCCTGTTCATGGCTCTGTACAACCTCAAGCTCCAGCTGGCGCGGACTGGTGGCTTCCTCGCGCTGGCCTGGCTCGGATCGATGGCACTGGCGACGGTGTCGGTCAACGGGCATCCCTCCGACGATGGCGTCTCCCGTGGCAGTAACGGGGTTTTTGTCTCGGCTCTTCTCATCGCACCGGCGGTGGGCGTCTTTGGTGCTGTTCTGGCCTGGTTGCGGCTGAGCAAGCTCTGGCGTCGGCATACCGTTGCCACCGTTGGTTCTGTGAGCAGTAGCGTCGATCTCAGTAGCTCTCGGTTCATCCTTGTAACTGACGTCGAGCTCGTGGCACGGATGCACATGGCGTCGGGCAACATTGACGCCGCCAACAGCGTCTTCCGCGCCGGCTTTGACCAGTTTCCCAACTCGGTCTTTGTCGTCCTCTGCTACGTGCGGTTTCTTGCGAGTGTGGGCAACACTGCGATGGCGCACGCGTATCTTGACAAGTCGCATGCTCTCCCGGCATGGATCGATCTGCGGTTTGCGCGGTATCGCAAGATGCGCGAAGTGGAGCAGGCGCAGCTCGCGCGCGGGCTGACGACCGGCTCGATGGACCTTGTCTCGTACGTGCAGTTTGAGAGCATGCTGCGGACAGCCAAGTCGCACCACAACTCGGCGCTACGGGCGGTGAGCACGTTCTGGCGCACGCTGCTGCGATCTGACCGGGCGTTCCTGGAAAAGTCTGCCAAGCTCATTGCGCGGATCGACGAGTCTGAGCGGACGGCCAACAACTACTACCGGCAACTGGTGCGCAAGTACCCGACCGCGCCGGGCCTGCTGTCGGCGTACGCCACGTTTCTGGACGAGGTGTCGAACAAGCCGGCGCTCGCGTCGCGGTTCCTCTCCAAGGCCAAGCGAGTCGAGGCTGCGCTCCGCGACAGCACCGAGCACGGCGAGGGCGCTGATGCTGAGGCAGCGTTGGCAACTGTTAACGGTGCTGTCGATGCTCTGGTCACACTCACCGAGGATGGCTGTATTGCGTCACTCAACACGCATGCCCGCAAGCTGCTCGGCTTTACGCACGCGTTGTCACGTGATGAGTTGCTCCACAAGCCGTTTGGCCTTGCGCTCCTTGCCCCATCGTTCTCCGAGTGGTTCCATGACATGCTTGCGGACGCATCGACATCGCCGCGTCCGCTACTGGTCACTGTGAGGTGCAAGGACAAAAGCGAGCTCGCGGTCAACATGATTCTCGCACGCGTGCCGCGTGCCGACGTGGCACACTTTATGGTCATCCTCCGACCAGTTCAGACTCGCTCGCATCGTGTTGCGCTGTACTGCACCAAGAATGGTGCCGTGGCCGCACTGGCGGGATCAGTCGAGCGCATGCTTGGTCTCGACCCTGAGGATCTGCTGGGCGCTCCGCTATCCCAAGTGCTGTCCTCACCATCGGCCGGGTCGTCACAAATGCGGCCCAACGTGTCGAATGGTTCGTTCGGCTCATACCGTGAGCTGACCGCCTCGACCAGCGACTCTAGTGGCCTGCAAGCCTGGCTTTCCACCCTCGACAGGGGCGCGGTGGTGCCTCTGGCTCCGCGTCCGTTCCGATTGGCCTGCGCTCCGGCAAAGAAGCCGTGGTCATTGGCTCGGGTGTCCACGCGTTTGGCACCGGCCCTGGAGCAATGGGCATGATTGTGTTGGAGTCACTGGCTACGCATACTCTCGAGTTTGCGATTTCGGCCGAGGGGCGGATCCTAGCCTGCCCATCATCGGCGGCACAGGCGCTGTTTGGCAGGAGTGAGACTGAGATGCTCGGGCAGACGCTTAACTCTGTGTTCGTCGTGCCAGACGACAACGTTGTCGCCAACAATCTGCCGAATGTTATTACCGAGGCCACCCACGAGCGCGCAGCACACGTCATAGCCGAAATGGAACGGCCTGGTGCGGGCAAGCAGTTCAAGCCAGCCGAAGTCTGGGTCGATACCTGGGAGCAATGGCGGATGCTTCGCTCCGCGGCCGTCGGCGAGTTTGACCGAGAGACGGGCGCTCTCCCGCTGTTTCCGCACCTCCCGGGTCTCGACGACGGCAACACAGTGGCACTTCTTGCGACTGTACCCCATCCAGATTCTGGTCTAGCACTCGCCGCGGCGGCTGTGGCGCGGAATACCGCAACTGGCGCTATGCGTATGATTCTCCTTCCGCTTGGCCTTGCACACGAGTCGAGCTCCAGCCGCGAGTTCGGCCGCTTGCCACGATCGGGTGGCTCAAGTGCTAGGGGTGGGCTCTCGCCGCGGCCGCCACGCAGTCCGCAACGTTCCTCGATCGCGGGCCTGCTGTCACCGTTTGATAGCCTTCCCGGCATAGACCGGGCTAGTTCCGCCAATCGCGACCACCGCAGCTCACTCACGGGCGTGCGGACCGATGGGCACTCGACAACCTCTGGCGCGCCGCCGACTGTGACCGCCTCGGTCCCCAAGCTTGGGCGATCGACTGGCTCTACAACTGGCGAAACAATGTCGCTGGTCTCGGACTCAGAGCATGGAATGGTCATGTCTGCGCGAGCGCGCCTCTCCGCCAAGCGCCGGCTGGCCGAGCTTGACTCGGACGTTGGTGCCGCGGTACGCGCCATGAAGACCAAGGCTGCAAGTGCTGTGAATCGGCTCAAGTGGCGGCTCTGTGCATCCACGTTTGTCATTGCCTGCCTCTGCCTCGCCGTGTTTGTGGCGTCGACCATTCTGCTGCACGAGGCCGAGCTGGAGCCGCCGCGGGCCGAATGGGCCTCCATGCGGTTGCAAGAGATGTCGCGAACTGTCTCTGCTGTCCAGTCTCTTTACATTCTGGATCGCTGCTTGGCGGTTAAGGATGCTGCGAAAGAGAGCGCGAGTTCAAACGCTTCAACGCCCTGGAATGACGAGCTGGATCATCTGGTGGAAGTCAATGAGCTCTTGCTGCACGATCCACGGTTCGTGGACGAGGCGCGTGGTGCACTGGACGATCTTGAGCGCGATGTGTTCCGTGCCATTGAGCACATGCACGAGCACCACGCTCTGTTGGCGAACACGGACGGGCTCTATGACCCCGATAGTGCACTCGACAAGCTTCACGCTGGGGCGCCGCAGGTCGAGCTGTACTTTTTCGACGGCATCGGAGAGGTGTTCGCGGCGTATCCGGCGGTACCATCCCGCGAGCTCTCGGTTACCACTGCCGCGTACAACCTCGACCGGGCTATCATGGTGTACACGTCCATGGCGCAGGATTTTGTCAATGGCGTTAACGAGCGGATTGGCCACGAATCGCACCTCGGCGATGAGGCAGTCCGCGGCGTGGTGCGTTCTGACGCTAGCCTTGCTGGTGCTGACGACAGCCATGGCGAAGGCTCCGCGGCAGGAAATGCCACTCATGCCGAGTCCGCCGAGGCGTTGGTGTTGGCCGACATGGCGTTCTTTGTACTGTTCAACGGACGGCACACCCTGCGGGCCGGATTGGAGTATGCTCTCGAGCTGGAGCATCGGGTGGTGGCTGCCACGATGGAGCAGTCGCTCATTGTTGTGTGCTCGCTGACAGGTATTCTTATCGTCCTCCACCTTGTTGTTGTTTGCACCGTGGTCGTGCCCGAGTTTCGCCGGCTGGGGCGTCGCCGCCGCGAGACCATGGCCGTCTTCTTGGCCATTCCCAAAGTGTCAGTCTCGGACTTGGTGCGGATGAGCAAGACCGGGCGAAAGGGCGGCAGGCGATCCGGAACGCCGGGAGCGGCCACCATCGAAGGTCAAAGCGGCGACAACGGGGCCCAGGATGCCAAGGGATGCGGCGAAACTGTCTTTGCCTTCCACACGCCTCGGCGGTCCAGGAGCACGGGCGGTACACGTTATTCGATTGTTGAGGCCTCCTCATCGCTCGGCCTCTCGTCGCTTGTGGCTGACGAGAGTGTCTGCCGTCGACAATCGCTCGTGGACGCGTCGTCGTCCGTCATTGAGGGGTCGTTGTCGTCATCGTCGTCGTCGTCGTCGTCATCATCCTCACTTCAACCCGCATCGCCCAGTCCCTGTGCAGCAGCAGCCATCCTAGCGGACGACTTGGGAACGTCGAGTGCAGCCGATGGGACGGCCTCTGAACAGGTTGAGACCGAGTCGCACGGAAGCGAGCACAGCGTGCGGGATGAAGATGGTAGCACTGCACGTGCGGTGGCGTTTCGAAGTGACGCGTCGCTGGTTGTAGAACGCCAGCGTTCGATGGAGTTGCGCAATGTGTTGAACCGCTCGATGGCCGAGTCCGAGTCTCATCGTCGCACCGACAACTTTGCAAGCGCCAACAGCCATGGGCCAAGCCATGTGGCGCTGAAAGGTGTGGCTCGGGACACTGTGGAGAAGAGGCAGTGCGCGGTGCTGGTGGTCATGGTTGTCCTGGTTGTGGTCCTGGGCGCCTCGCTGGTTTCGCTCCTCGAGCTGCAGTACATGGCCAACGTGGCATCGACGGCCGCCATCTCGGGCCTTCGTCTCGCTATTAACGAGGACATTCGTGGGCTCTCCATCGAGCTCATGCTTGAGGACTCTGTGGTGCTCGGCGAGTTTGCGCACGTCCTATTGCCGTTTGATCGTGTACCCTGGCGAGAGCTCGTCTCCCAAACGCGCCCAGCATCGGTCCACATCACGCTTCCGAGCAAGGTGCCAACCACGCGCTCGCTGCTACAGATCGCGCTCGATCGCATGCTAGAGGCACAGCGGTACTTTGCGCTCAACAGCAGGAACACGTTTGCGGTGCCAGTCGACGACACCCTCGAAAAGGTCGGGACGTGCCTCCGTGTTAACCGCAGCCTTTGTCGGAGCGAAAGCGATCCGCTCCACACCGTCACCTCTCGCGGGCTCGACAGTCTTGTGCTCGAGTACGTGGCGCGGGGCGAGGCTGTGATGCGGGCGCGGTCCGAGACGCTATCTCCCAAGTTCTCGCCGGTTGTCGACCTCGAGGCGCTGTACAACGCGGAGATGCTCGACGGCCTGCTGCTTTCGCTGCGTGGCACAGTTACCTCCATCGACCGCAATGCGTCATGGAAGGATCTCCCGCTTTATGCCTTTCTCTTCCAGCTCCTCGTCCTGGTCCTCTTCTTCGCCTTTGCCATCGTTCCAATGATCCGCATGCTCCGTGCCAACAACCGGCAAACCTTTTTCATGCTCGGTCTCATTCCGCATGCCGTTGTGACAACCGTCCACTCGGTTGCCGAGTACTTTGAGCTCGATGTGTAGCGCCGATTCTTGGTGGTGTGTATCGTATCGCCCACGCGCGCGCGTTTGGCAGACCACACCAGTTCATAACCCTTAACGGTACGGTCGTTCGGACGCCTTGTCGCGCGTCTCAAAGTGAACGTCTCGATGATGCTTGACTTCCAGATCACCGACCGACGCTGCGCGACGCCTGCTTGGCCTGCAGCTTGAGGTGGGAGGTGCACCCGCACGTGATGGCGGCCGACATGTAGACGGCCGCCTGAAGGATGCCCGAGTTGCCGCCGCGGTGACGACCCCGACGACCGGGAAGGAGAGCATGACAGAGTTGACCACAGCGGGCGGGCGGGAGAGCGTGAGGACGTCTTGCGAAGGACGAGCTTGCCGGTCGGCGTGGCCGCGCCAGTGGTGGCACGCCATCTTGTACTGGATGCTGGATGTCGCGCGCATCAACGCGTACACGTTCTACGCTGACACGAGCCCACGCCCCGCCATGACTCGTATGGCTTTTCTCTACGACATTATCGACGCCCTGGCCGCCAGCGCCGACGCCGTCGCACAAGCGGAAGCGTCCCTCTCCAGCGGCTGCTCGTCATCACCACCTGTCCCTGCGAGCCGCTCTGCGACGCGACTGCCTCGCCTGCCGGTAGCTTCATGGTAAGCGATCGCGGCCGCGGACCTTTTGTGCCGCGTGCGGCGTCCATCTCTGCACCACCTACTGTCTTCTGTTGTGGCAGCCATCAACACATTGTACTACTCTTTTCAACAATTCATGGACGTTGCGACGTCCGTGGAGCGTCGCGAGCGCGGCTGGCACGATAGACAAAATTTGTCCATTCCGAACCAAAAGGGCATTGAAAAAAACTGCGACACTGCAGCCAAAAACTATGGGAGCCGCAAGTCAAGTTGGCTCACCTTGTCTGCGCGCGGATGTGAATCTTTATTGGCACGTGAGCCATCCGCCGCAGGCGCGCCGAACCAACGGCCGGCTTCCCCAGGAAAGGCAGGTTTGCACGGGTGGGACACCACACTTGCCTCGCACCACCCGTGTCCGGGTGTTAGTGTGTAAACGGGACCATGAGCATGTTGGGACGTAACTACGGTGGCTCTCGGACGTCTACAGGGTCGCTCTCGGACTCGTCCTTGGACAACTCGTTGCTTTCCGAACTCGGCGACAGTGACGACGACTTTCTCGGCCTGTCGACGCGTACAGCGACAGAGCGACTGCTTCAAACCATCGAGACCTTTGCTTTTGGCGCACTCTTTGCCATCGTCTCGCGCACCTCATCACTCCGCATTGTCTCCATCCTTGTGCTGCTCATCGAGTTTGGCCAGCTCGCCGCCTTTGCCTTTGCGCCCATCTTTGAGTGGGGCCCATGGGCCGACTCATCGCTCCAACCTGTGCTCTCGGTCCTCTCGCTGCGAGTGGTTTTCTCCTCGTTCCACGTCTTCCGTGTTGTCAATCTTGTTGTGTATGCCGTGCTCCTTGGCGCCAGCGTTGACGCTGCTTATGTCGGCCTTGCCCTCCGCGACCACTCACGGTCCAAGGTCTGGCCGTTGCGACTGCTGCGGTACGCCGTCGGCTTTGCGGTCACCGTCCTGTACATTCCGATCATGAGCGTCCTCCTCACGCCGCTCGCTTGCGACTACGAGGCCGAGCCGCCCGTCCTCCGTGACTACTCGGACGTCGGGTGCTGGGAGGTCGAGATCACAGCCTACCGCATGGTCTCGGGTGTCCTTGCGCTCGTCTTTCTTGTGGGGACGGCGGCTCTGTCGCTGGTGTACTTTCAGGACGCGCTCGGATCGGGGCACTTGCTCGCGCGGCCACACGCGCGGGTTGACTGCGCCACCCATGTGGTCAAGACGGTGCTTTTGTTTGGGTTTGCGACCGGAGCTGGCTCGCCCGGGGTGCTCGGCGGTCTTCTTGTGGTCACTATGATCTCCATCTTTGTGCTGCAGGTCCTGTTCATGGCTCTGTACAACCTCAAGCTGCAGCTGGCGCGGACTGGTGGCTTCCTCGCGCTGGCCTGGCTCGGATCGATGGCACTGGCGACGGTGTCGATCAACGGGCGTCCTCCCGATGACGGTGTCGCCCGCGGGAGCAACACGCTGTTTGTTGTTGCGCTGGCTCTTGTGCCGATTGTTGCATGTGCTGGAGGTGGCATTTCATATCTTCGGCTTCACCGACTTTGGCGGAGACACGCGGCTGTGGCTGTGGCGCCTACGGCCCGGCGGAGCACTGGGCACCGATCTCGGTTCATCCTTGTAACTGACGTCGAGCTCGTGGCACGGATGCACATGGCGTCGGGCAACATTGACGCCGCCAACAGCGTCTTCCGCGCCGGCTTTGACCAGTTTCCTAACTCGGTCTTTGTCGTCCTCTGCTACGTGCGGTTTCTTGCGAGTGTGGGCAACACTGCGATGGCGCACGCGTATCTTGACAAGTCGCTTGCTCTCCCGGCATGGATTGATCTGCGGTTTGCGCGGTATCGCAAGATGCGCGAGGTGGAGCAGGCGCAGCTCGCGCGCGGGCTGACGACCGGCTCGATGGACCTTGTCTCGTACGTGCAGTTTGAGAACATGCTGCGAACGGCCAAGTCGCACCACAACTCGGCGCTGCGGGCGGTGAGCACGTTCTGGCGCACGCTGCTGCGATCTGACCGGGCGTTCCTGGAAAAGTCTGCCAAGCTCATTGCGCGGATCGACGAGTCTGAGCGGACGGCCAACAACTACTACCGGCAACTGGTGCGCAAGTACCCGACCGCGCCGGGCCTGCTGTCGGCGTACGCCACGTTTCTGGACGAGGTGTCGAACAAGCCGGCGCTCGCGTCGCGGTTCCTCTCCAAGGCCAAGCGGGTCGAGGCTGCAACGCGCGACGACGGTGGGGCCGGGGTGGAGCATCTTGGGCAGGACGCCGACTACACGCTCGTGAACGGGGCGGTCGATGCGCTCATTTCGCTGAGCGAGACTGGGAGCATTATCTCGCTCAACACGCATGCCCGAAAGCTGCTTGGCTACTCGAGCTTGGCGAGCAAGGGTGAGCTTGTGGGTCAACCGTTTGGCAGCACGCTCCTCACGCAGCCGTTTGCATCGTGGCAGGCACTGCTTGTATCGGAGACGTCCGATGAGGCCAAGTCGATGATTGTGCCGATCCGCCACCGAGCAGGAACACTGATGCCTGTGGTGTTGACCATTGTGCGGATGGGCGGAAACTCGGGATCTGCGCCGTTTGTTATGGTTCTTCGCGAGCTCCCGCGTCACGACACCCGGGTTGTGCTCTACACCCGCAAGTCTGGACGGGTAGTCGGAGTGGTGGGGCCGGTCAGCACGGTGCTCGAGCGGAGCTCAAACTCGCTGACCAACTCGGAAGTTCTAGATCTTTTTGATGCTAGCGGCGACGAGGCCGAGCTGCAGTTCTCACCGATGGCTGGCTGGTTGTCTTCACTTGGCACGGCTTCGAGGAGCAATCTCTCCACCCGGGTCGAGACGGTGACACTCGGCTCGCAAAAGCGAGTGCCCATGGTGGTCTCGTGCTCGGTGGTGTTTGGCAGCGGCAACGATGCCATGGGCATGATTTGTCTCGAGCCACTCGCGGCGCACACGCTCGAAATCGTGCTCTCGCCAGACGGCCGAATCCTGGCCTGCGCCTCGGGATCGATTGCCACGCTGCTCGGAGTGACCGAAACCGAGGTTCTCGGTCAGGGTCTTGAGTCGCTGTTCCGGCTTCCCGAGTCGACTAATGATCGGCCTGCCATTCTGGACATTGTGGATGCGACCCATTCGCGAGCGGCGCGGATTAGCGCTGAGGTCGGTGTGCGTGGCGTTGCTTCGCATCTTGAGCCGGTTGGCGTCTGGATCGAGTCGGACAGACTGTTGCAAGGTCTGATGAGCAAGGCAAAGGAGCAGCTGGCAGATGGCTCGTCACCTCTGCCGCTCATTCCACCGCCGCCTCTTCAGAGCTCGGTGGCGTCACGGATGGGCGAGGCCGTAGCGCTGCTACAGTCGCTGGCGCTCCGGGCGACACATCCATCACTCTGTTTCCTGGCTGCGGCTCGATCAGCCGACGACGGGTCATCCCACTCACTGTGGCTCCTCCCGCTAGCAGCGTCGGAAGAAGAACTCACAACGCTAGCTGCGTCTGTGCCAGTCACTCCGACCATCGGCACTGTACCGCGGCCGGCATCGCTAGGGCCTGGCTCGTGGGGCGCCGGGCGGAACTCGAGCTCTAGCTTGATGGGCGACGCGACTGCTTCCGCTGGTGCGATTACTGGCAACGGCGTGTCTGGTCTCTCGTCGCCGTTTGACTCGGTGCCGCAGCTCGGCGCCAGCACCGGTGACAGCTCTGTGGGAATGCGACGGTCAGCGTCGGGAGTCATTGCCGGACCCCGGCGGCGGGTCTCACGGCGGCGATCTAAGCTCTCGACAGCGCTTACGTCGGAGCGGTCGCTCTCGCTGCAGCGGCCGGGCAGCAAGACGACGGCGGCGGCGGCGGCGGGCGATACCGAGACCATGTCGCTAGTTTCGGCATCAGACCAGCGGATGGTGGGGGCGTCGCGAGCGCGAATTTTGGCGCGCAAGCGGATGGCGCAGTCGGACTCGGATGTGGCGACGGCCCTGCGTGGGCTGCGAACGCGGACATCGGCGTCAATTTCGCGGCTACAGAAGCAGCTGTGTCTTTTCACGTTTGCTGTCGCCTGTCTTTGCGTGGCAGTCTTTGTGGCGTCAACCATTCTAGTGGCAGAGGCCGAGCTCAAGCCACCGCGGGCCGAGTGGGCGGCACTTCGACTGCAGGCGATGTCGCGGACAGTCTCGACGCTCGAGTCGCTGTACCTGCTGGAAAAGGGGATGTTGGTGCACAACTATGTACTCTCGATGAGAGCGCGGAACATATCGTCGGTGGCGGATGATGTCGATCCTTTTCTCATCCAGTTTAACCAACTCATCCTTGGTGCGCCCGAGTTCATACACCAGTCGCCCAAAGACGCGGCGCGGTTGCTGGCGACCGCGCGCAACGCACTGTCGTCGCTTCGGGCCAACCAGGACCAGCTGGCAGACACGTCCGGCCTGCACGACCCAGGAGACCGGATTGACAAGCTCCATTCTGGCGAAGGCCAGGTGGCCCTGTACCACTTTGTGGGTGTGGGTGAGCTCCTGGCCAATTATCCTAATCCGTTCAACATCACGTCGAGTGCCGAGTCGTACAATCTGGAGGAGGCCATTGCGTTGTTCTCCAACATGGCCAATGGGTATCTTGAGTACCTCGAGGGCCTATTGGCGGTGATGAGCGGGGCAGTGCCGCCGAATGGAGGCACGACTACCGTAGGGGGCGGGGTGGTCGGTGCGCCGGTTGTGGCGCCGGAAGACATGGTCATGTTTGCCATTTTCAATGGGCGGCACACGCTGCGGACGATTCTGGAAGTGGGACTTGACCTTGAGCAAGATGCAGTTGCGGCGACAATGCAGCAGTCGATTGTGGTCGTGTGCTCGCTGACGGGCGTGTTGGTCGCGCTGCATCTCGCGGTTGTGTGCTTTGTCATGTATCCTGCGTTCCGCAAGCTGACCGACCAGCGGAAGCACACGGTGGCGGTCTTTCTGGCCATTCCCAAGGTTACGGTCTCGCAGCTCGCGCGTGGCTCGCGCAACGCGCTGGCAAGCGACGGCGGCCTCTCTGCCGAGTCAATTGAGGAACTCGGGACGACCGTCGAGACGATGGATGCGGACGGGCCTGAATCGTCGATTCGTCGCGCAGCGAGCACCAATGGCGTCATTGAGCTCGGGAAGCTGCGACGGGAAGGTATGTCATCCTCTTCGTCTTCGTCGCTCTCTTCGCCGTCTGAAGATGAGTCGCTGTCGGACGAACTCGGCAGTGGGCTCGAGAAGTCGAGCGCTGCCGTGCGGCGGTCGGTGACATCGCCAGTCCTTACGGGCCGGGAATCTGCCGAGTCAGGGTCGGGCAACGAGTCTGTTGTGCTCACCGACTCACTGCTGGAGGAGCAGGAGGAAGAGGAGGATGGGGAACCAAACAGAAGCTTGGTGGAGCACGGGACGCCGATGCGGCTGGTGACGGCGACGCCGACACGGGCGGCACAAGGTACCTCTGTGCAGGAGACGCCGGCGCGGAGAAGGACACCTTCGCGGGTCCTGAGCCCGCCGCAGCTGCACGTGAGCGGGGTGCACGGCGAATCGATGTGTGAGAAGAGCGGATGCTCCGAGGCATCGATCTCCATGCTGCTCTCGGGGTCGGAGGAGGGACCAATGGTCCGTTTTCCGTCCAACTCGGAGCTCGTAGAGGAGGTCAGTCCGCCAGCACCGTATCTTTCGCCGCAGCCGTCGGCAGCTTCACTATCAGGAGCAAGGACGACAGGGCAGCGCGACGAGGAGCGCATCAAGCAGGCGTCGCAGCGGGTGGCGCGTGACGTGGTGGAGAAGCGGCAGTGGCTGATCTTGTTTGGTATGGTGGGCCTGGCCGTTGTCCTCGCGTTTTCTCTGGTCTCGCTGGTGGAGCTGCGGTACATGGCGAATGTGGCTTCGGCGACGGCCAAGGGCGGGCTCCGCATGGCGCTCAATGAGGACGTGCGTGGGCTGGCTATCGAGACCATGATCGAGGAGAACCCACAGCTGCAGCTCTTCGCGACAGTCGTTCTTCCATACCACTTGCTGCCGTGGACAGATATGTCACAAGCGCGCCTGCCAGACTCGGTTCATGTACGGCTGACAACGACCCGCTTGGGAGCACGCGAAATGCTGCTCAGCGCGCTTGACCTACTGCGCGAGACGCAGCAGTACTTTGCTCTCAACGCCGACGACACGTTCAAGGTCCCTTCGCAACACTGGCTCAATTCAGCCGGAACCTGCCTCCGTTACAACACTAGCCTCTGCCGCAAGCCCGACGATCGTCTGTACTTGGAGACTTCACAAGGGCTGTCTGTGCTTGTTTATGAGTATGTTGCGCTCGGGCGTGCTGTGGCGCGAGCGCCGGCGTCGGTCATCTCGCCGCTCACGCAGCCACTGCTTGACATCGAGAACTTGTTTGATCGCGAGATGCTGGATGGCCTCGGAATGTCGACGCACAGCTTTGTGACTTCGGTCGAGCGCAACGCGCTGTGGGAGCACCTTCCGCTTGTGGCACTCGTGGCGCAGCTTGTGCTCTTCTTCCTCTTCCTCGTCGGTGCCATCGTTCCACTCGTCCATGCACTCCACGCGCAGAACCGGCGGACGATGTTCATGCTGGGCTTTATTCCGCACGATGTGGTGACATCTGTCTACTCTGTTGCGTCATTCTTTGAGCTTGACACTGTCTAGCCTTACTGGCCACGCATGACGTAACATGACATGAACGGAGCCACGAGAGGAGAGGGAGAGACACTTGACGCCGTCGTTCAGAGGTGTAGTTGGCGATGGACGAGTTTGATCAGCTGCTGTTTCTGGAGGAAGAGTATGTAGATTGAGAGGGTGATGAACAAGGTCGGGAATGAGAATGGGTGTGTGGGGGGGGGGAAGGGGTTTGCTTGTGGTGGATCGCTTCGGATCTGATCCCGAGTGCGGCAAGCCAACTCACGGCTTTGGATGGGACATGGACAGGCTTATTGCCCAGGGTCATGCGCAGGGGCTTGTACAGGGCGAGGAAGAGGGCCATGCTGAGGCACGGAGGCTGGGCTTTTTCCATGGCCGGGAGTTGGCCATGGAGGTGGGCTACTACCGCGCGTATCTAGCGACGGTGGCGGCGACCGAGGCGGCGACCGAGGCGGCGGTCGAGGCGGCAGCCGAAGCGGCTGTAGCCGAAATGGAAGAGCGGCTGGCAGCAGGCGTCCCGTTTGATCCGGCAGAGATGGAGCCGCTCCGCGCTGTGATGCGGCGGTATGCGGCGGGGGCCGGCATCGAGCTGCGGTATGGGCCACCTGATCTGGGCGCCGAGGAGGTGCGAATCGCCAAATGGCTGCGGAGCCGCCGCAGCGGTGTCGACCGCGCGCGGGTGGCGCTGGCGCTAGACGGCGGTGACGACAGTGAGGCTGAATGCGTCGGCGATGCCGAAGGCGGGAGTGGCCGCGACGGCGAGGACGATCTCGATTGGTAGTTTCAATGGCGGCGGGTCAGGATGGTGGCGGGAGGAGCTGGGCCGCGTCAGCGCACTGCTGGACCCAGGCCGGCGTGACGTAGGTCGGCCCGGTGCCGGGGGATCGCGACTCTGGAAGCGGCAGCGCTTCTTTGGCGACGACAACAACGTGGACGCCTGGGCCAGGCTCGCGCCGGAGCCGCCCGCCGTAGGCCACGATGTGGCGGGAGAGCTGCTTGCGGGTGACCGGCTGTAGCGAGCCGTCGTCGACGAGAAAGACGAGGTTGGCGAAAAACGCGGCAGTGGGGCAAGACCGGCAGCGATGGCGGACGACGAAGCACGGCGAAGAGGGGCCAACGACGATGACGCCGACGACGCGGCACATGCGTCACCGGCATCGGCAATGCCGTCATCATTGTCGTCGGTGTCAGCGTTGTAGTCGGCGATCTCCTCCGTCGAGCCCGACGCCGACGTTGTAGCTGGGGCCGCAGCCGGGGCTGCCGGGGCTGAGGCGGTTGAGGGAAGTGGCGCAGGCGCGTGGGCCGCGTAGCTGTCGTGGAGCCAGTCGGGACCGACGACCGGCTTGCCTGCGGCGCGAGCGGCCTTGACCTTGGCGGCGTGATCAAAGCCAGGTGCGGCGATGAGCAAATTGCAAGCTGCCGACCAGGCTGCGGAGTATGTGGCCCCCATGGCGGCGGCGAGGCTGCGGAGGGTGGCGCGCTCGGGATTGGCGATGCCAGAAATGGTAAAGGTGATGTGGGCAAGTGTGGTTGGCGGCGGCGGCGTGCGCTTGCGCTTGCGTGATGGAGGGTTCGGCGGGGCCGCAGCCGAGGGAGCCGGCGAGGAAGCAGCAGGCGATCGGTCGTTGACAATGACTGACTCGCGCGGGGTGGCGACTGCTGATGGGGCGCGGCGGTTTGTGTTGGTGGCGGCCGCCGAGTTGGGGATGAACTCAAAGGTGGAGGCGGCAGCAACGGCACGGCGGGCCTTGGCGCGGGCAATCTTGGCAGCCTTGGCGGCGGCGGCCTTGATGGCGGCCGTATCGGCCTGCCACTCGTCAAACGATGACGAGCTGGGCGGCGGCTTGAGTGACGACATGCGCTTGTGGAGCGGAATGAGGCCTTCGAGCGGTGAGGCCTTCAGTGAGGGGTCGCCGGCAAATGGAGCGCGGTGGATCGAGGCTGCGGCAGCGGGAGTGTCGAACGAGAGCTGGGACTTGCCGAGAGGGCGAAGCATGTCCTTGAGCGCGGCGTCGACGTCAGCCTTGGGCAGCGACGGCGGCTGGGGTGGGGCGTCGAGGAGCGAGCCGAGGCGGAGGAGACCGCCGGCTGCGCCGCGGGCACGGGCCCTGTCCGACGGCGGTGGAGTACGGACGCAGATGTCGATGCGGGCAAGGCCCATGCGGCGCGGGCGGAGGGCGGTGATGCGGACCACCAGGTGTGAGATGGGCGTGTCCAGCAGGCCGGCGGCAAGTGCACCGGAGCCAAAGGACCAGACTTTGGTGGCGAGCACGCCTGGTGCCGGCGGCGGCGGCAACGGCAGCGGCGGAGGGCTGGGTAGGCTCGAGTGCGGCGGATCGGGCGGGAGGAGCTGCTTGATAGGCAGGACGGGGCGGGCGGCGACCGTCCACAGGCTGGCCCGATCGATGCCATCCGCAGCGAGCACAGCACTCGCCGGTGCATCTCCGTCATGAACAACCATGATCTCCACAAAGGGCGTGTTATAGTTGCGGACGATGACGTCTGTGAGAAGAGCCGGGCGGGCGAGAGCGAGGACAAGCAGGCCCGGGCCATGACCAGCCCCGAGGTCGGCGGGAGGTAGCCAGGGCGTGTGCGGGAGGCCCGAGGCAGGCCATGGACCGGCATCTGGAGGCGAGACAAAGGCGACTGTGTATGGGGCGGATGCAGACATGTGGGTAGTGGGATGGGGGAGGGGGGGATGAGTACCAGGGCATTGGTGTGGGTGAGGGTGGCGCGGGCGGGCGGGGCGTGACCATTGTGGTTGATTCTGCATTTGTGTCATTGTCCATGCATGCCAACGTGTATGCCACCGGCTCATTCGCATCGTTCGTTCGTCATCGTTGGTTCGTCATCGTTGGCTCGTTCGTCATCGTTGGCTCGTTCATCATCGTCGGCTCGTTCATCATCGTCGGCTCGTTCGTCATCGTTGGCTCGTTCATCATCGTCGGCTCGTTCATCATCGTCGGCTCGTTCATCATCGTCGGCTCGTTCATCCTCGTCGGCTTGTTCGTCATCGTTGGCTCGTTCATCATCGTCGGCTCGTTCATCATCGTCGGCTCGTTCGTCATCGTTGGCTCGTTCGTCATCGTTGGCTCGTTCATCATCGTTGGCTCGTTCATCATCGTCGGCTCGTTCGTCATCGTTGGCTCGTTCGTCATCGTTGGCTCGTTCGTCATCGTCGGCTCGTTCGTCATCGTTGGCTCGTTCGTCATCGTTGGCTCGTTCATCATCGTCGGCTCGTTCGTCATCGTTGGCTCGTTCGTCATCGTTGGCTCGTTCATCATCGTCGGCTCGTTCGTCATCGTTGGCTCGTTCGTCATCGTTGGCTCGTTCATCATCGTCGGCTCGTTCGTCATCGTTGGCTCGTTCATCATCGTCGGCTCGTTCGTCATCATCGGCTCGTTCATCATTATCGTCTCATTCGTCATCATCGGCTCATTCGTCATCGTTGTTCTTCCACGTGACCACACACACCATTGTTTCATTCATTCCATTTGCCACCACCCCTCCCTCCCTCCCTCCCTCCCCCCCCCCCTTTGGACATGTTCGAGGGCCTCGTCTCGTCGCTCCTGACACAGTACCTCGGGGCGTATGTGGAGGGTATCGACGCGAACCAGCTGGACATCTCGGTATGGGGTGGCGACGTAGTGCTGGAAAACCTCAATGTCAAGCCCGAGGCTCTGGACGGGCTCGGCCTTCCGCTGGCGCTTACCGGTGGCGTGGTGGGCAAGCTTGTCATCAAGGCAGACTGGAAGCATCTCAAGTCCAAGCCGGTCACCGCAGAGCTGCATAATGTGTTTGTCCTGGCTGGCCCCGCCGGTGCCGTGCCCTACGACCAGGAGGCCGAGGAGGCCAAGGCTCAGGCCGACAAGCAATCGGCGCTGGCCGCGCTGGAGATGGCCAAGGAGTCCAAGGCCAAGGCGCGGGCAGAGATGGCCAAGGAGGCCAAGAAGCGGGCCAAAAAAGCCAAGAAGAAGGCCAAGAAGAAGGACAAGGCCGCGGGCAAGGATCCCGCCCCGCCCGGCCTTGACGACGACGACGAGCCCGTCGAGGACTCTTTCGCCGCCCGTCTCGCCGCCAAGATCATCGACAATCTGCAGGTGGTGGTCAAGGGCATCCACATCCGCTACCAGGACAAAATCGCAAACTTTGCCGAGAACGCCCCAGTCCTCATCGCCGTCACCGGTGTCGAGCATGCCGCCGCTTCAGCTGCGCTCGCTGCCAACCCGGCGTGCGCTACCCACTACGGCTTTGGTATCACCCTTCAGGGACTCACCCTCTGCTCGACCGACGACTCATGGCGGCCGACGTTTCTCACCGAGTCCAAGCCGCTCGTACACAAGCTCGCCGAGCTCTCGAATCTCGCTGTGTATTGGGACCCAAACGTGGCGCCGATCGTCGACGCCTCACCAGCCGGCCTTGCCGCTGCCCTCACCCCGGGCATCCCGACTGACACCGCTCCGCCCTCGCTCCATCACTACGTTCTTGACCCGATCCACCTCAACGCCAAGGTGGTGATGAACAAGCGCGACAAGCCTGACATGCTCAATCCCAAGTTCACCATCCAGGTTGCTCTCGACGCCATCGGCGTCGAGCTCGAGCAGAGTCAGTACGTCCAGGTCATGGACGTGCTCGGCAAGTTCACCATGTTCTCGCGCTCGTACCCATTCCGCAAGTTCCGCCCGGCCCGGCGGCCCGCCGACGACCCGGCCGCCTGGTGGCGCTACGCTGCCAACGCCGTCCTGGTCGACATCAAGCGCCGCAACGCAGAGTGGTCGCCCGCACACTTTGCACAGCGCAAGCGCGACAAAGACGACTACATCCGGGTCTACACCCAGAAGAAGCTCTCCAAGAAGGGTAAGCTTCCTCCAGTTCTCGAAAAGGAGCTCGAGATCCTCGAGCTCCGCCTCGATTTTGACTCGATCCGCTTCTTCCGCATGCTCACTGAGCTCCGCCTCAAGCAGGCCGAGTTTGCCAAAAAGGCCAAAAAGGCCAAGAAGAAGAAGGAAAAGGGCGAGAGCGGCGGCGGCGGCATGTTCTCGTGGTTCAAGGGCAAGGGCAAGGACAAGGAGAAGGAAAAGGAGCTCGCCGCACTCCATCCCGACGTTGTCGAGGCTACAGCCTCCGAGGCAGACGACCCGATTGATCTCGAGCCAGATGCCACTGCAAACGTCTGGTCCGCCTTCTCGCCCGACGAGCAGTCGGCCATCTACGACTTGCTCGAGCCCGAGTTTGACGACGCCGGGCCCGTCGGCCCGCCGCCACCCGACTACGTCAAGATCCGCATCAACTTTACCTCGACGCCGCACGTGTTGTGGTCAAGGCCGACGCCAGCTCGCCGATCGTTGACTTTGAGCTCGACGGCCTCGCCCTCGAGCTCTGTCAGCGGCCGGACTCGATGTGGACATCGACTTCACTCGCCTCGCTCCACGCCCGCGACTATATTACTCCCGACTCGGCCTTCCCCTATCTCATCCAGCCCAAGACCGCGGCCCGCGACTCGCTCTTCCAGGGCGTCGACATCCGCATCCCGGACGGACTTGTGCCGAACAAGCTCGTCGCCTGTGAGTTTGAGCTTGCGCCGCTCGACTCGCCGGCTGACATCCGCGTTGGCCTCCGCGCCGCGCCGCTCTCTATCGTCTCACCCTCGCCGATCCTCCTGCAGCGCCTCCTCGCATTTGCTGCCGCCGCACAGTCCGAGACCGGCCTCGAGACCGTGGCCACCGCATACCAGGCCCAGGTCGACGCACTCGTCGTCACCACAGCAGGCGCGTCGCTCGACTATGCCCTTGAGCAGCACTCGATCATGGATGTCTCGGTCGACGTCGCCGCCCCGCACATTCTCTACCCGAGGAGCCATGCGCTCGCCGATCAGGACGACAACTTGGTCCTCTGCGTCGACCTTGGCTCTGTCACGGTCTTGTCGGATCTGGAGCACGCCGGCTCGGCCGCCCGCGAGCACCTCTACGACCGCTACAACGTCAAGCTCTCGGACGTCCAGGTCCTCGTCGCCGATCGATCGGCACCATGGGCCCTTGCCGAGCTCGCACCGCCGCCGCCGTCAGCACCGCTTCAGCCGTACCACTTGCTCTCGCCGCTCGAGCTCGAGCTCGCCATCCAGCTTGCCATCCTCCCGAATGACCCCACGTTGGTCAAGACCAAGGTGATCGGCTCGACCTCGCGCGTTGCTCTCCACGTCTCGACTCAAAAGTCGCTCGCTCTCCTTACCCTCCTCGACTCGGTTGCCCAGCTCACTGATGCGCTGGGCAGCAGCGATGGTGACGGCTCCGCTGCTGCTGCTGGGCCATCAGACCCCGCCCCGGTTGCCTCGAACGGCGACAAGGTTGCCCGTCGTGCCCTCGCCGCTGATTTTGTCTCGCTCGTCGAGGCTGCTGCTGTCGAACGTGCCCGCATGGAAGCGGTCACCTCGCTGGAGACTCTTGTCGAGCGTGTTGAGCTCGACCTAGCCTTCTCGGTTGGCGCTGTCACCGTCTCGGTGTCAGACGACCTTGCTCCGCTGCCGCGGTACTTGCAGACGCCGCCGCCGAACCCAGCCGCGCCTCGGCCTGCCTCGGCCTGCGGCTCGGTATCTGGTGATGATGAGGTGCATCACAGTCCTGCACCTACGCTCGCCTACGACGACACGCCTGTCATCTCGGCCGCGTCGCCGCCTGTCGCACCAGCCGTCAGCGAAGCACCGGTCATCATCGTCGTCTCGCTCGAAGGCATATCCGCCACTGTTGTCCAGCGAACGTTTGATGGCGTGACCTCGCTCACACTCTCCTCGTTCCACGTCGACGATGAGTGGGTCAAGTCAGCGAGCTACATGGCGTGCTCGCCGCCTATCCTGCCGACCGGCCTGGGCGCGCTCGTCGCCGCTCGCCCCGTCTCGGCCAGCACGGGCGAGACGCTCCCCCTGCTTGCGCTCACACACACCGCAGTCGCCAAGAACTCGCCGGAGCTCCTCACCAAGCATGACGCCACCGAGGCCCGCATCGACCTCGCACTCGGCCATGTGGAAGTCAACGTCAACCCGCAGACCATCCACGCGCTCGCTGTCTTTGCCTCTAAGGCCTTTCCGCCACCTGCAGACGATGACGCTGACGAGGTTGAGCCTGGCACACCGCGGCCGCGTGCCAGCTCGCGCCGCGGCTCGTCGGTTCTCCGTGCTTCGGTCTCGGCGTCGCGGGCCTCGGTCTCGCGCCGCGCCACCTCGATTCTGGCCGCCACGCCTGCAGCGTCGGTTGAGGCTCGCGAGGCCCAGCGCAAGTACACCATGCGTGTGGTCCAGGCCCAAACCCAGGCCGCCCTTCAGCTGGCCGCTGACGCTGGCGATGCAGCGCCCGACATCGACATCACCCAAGTTCTGCAACAGTTCAAGCCGCTTGTCGCCAACGTATCTCTGGCCGGCGTCTCGATCTCGCTCAACGAGCCGGGTCTCCCGCTCACACAGGTTGTTCTCGGCTCGACCTCGCTCGCCTTTGTGCAGTACACCACGACACTCTCGGCTGAGATCGAGGTTGGCCAGCTCACCGTGCTTGATCTGGTGACGCCCAACACCCGCTACAAGCGCATTGTCGGTCGCGCGAAGAGCCACACCCATCACCACCGCCGCCACCATCGCCATCGCAAGACAGCAGCCGTCGTGAGCCCAGCTCGTGGTGACACGATCGGCTCGGGCTCCGACTCGTCGTCGGCCTCGAGCTCTGACTCGTCAAGCTCGGGCTCTTCCTACACCTCGTACACCTCATCAGACTCTTCCGACTCGACAAGCTCGTCGGGGTCGGCAAAGGCTCAGAAGCTCGAGGTGGCACAGGCCAGCAAGGCGGCGGCCAAGCCGCGGGCAATGATCAAGGTCACGTTTGCCACGTACGACAAGTACGAGCCACTCATCGAGTACCCAGGCCACGACATGTCGGTCTCGTGTAAGATTGCCGCCATCGAGGCCGTTTTTGTCAACCTATTCGTCACCCGCCTCCTCGACTACAATTCCAACTATGTGCCGTTCATGCTCCAGCCGTTTGCAGGCGGCGACGAAACTCCGGACGAGGTGTTGGCCCTCGAGGCGAGCGCCCCGTCGGTGGCAGCCCCGACGACCTCGGCTAGCCTTGCTATCGGCCCGGCGCCACCGGCCGGTGCGGTGCTCCCAGCGCCGCCACCAGCGGAAGAGGCCCAGCCCAAGATCAAGGTCTCGGTCGACATGGCCCAGCCGCGGCTGGTCCTCCCGCGGGGCGCGTTCCACGACGACGCGCTCCATGTCTATCTCGGTAGGCTCTCGGTCTCCAACTCGTTCTCGACCTTTTCCGGCGTCCCGATGGACAACATGGTGGTGCACTTGTCGGAGACCCATGTGACCGCGCTCGCGTCAGACGCCGGCCCGGCATCGACGCTCGTCGCCGACTTTGGCGTCTCTCTCGACATTGCCCGGTCGCTGCTTCCGGCTGACACGCGCGTGCCGGAACTGCGGATTTCCGGCGAGGTAGCGCCCATTGTGGCACGGGTGGCACAGCGCGACTATGGCTATCTCATGCGGTGTGTGCTCGAAAACCTCGACCAGGTCTCGCCGCCGTCAGCCCAGCTCAATCCCCGCACCCTCGAGTGGATCTGGATCCCACCGGGCATCGAGACGGTGGTCCACACCGCGCCGCCCCCGGCTGTCCAGACGCCCGACGAGCTTGCCGCTGCCGAAGCCGCTGTGGCCGCTGCTGCTTACATCACCCTCGACGCTTCGGTGGCCATCCCGCGGATCGAGCTCGACCTCGTGGCCGCCGACGGTTCGGGCATTCTCGCGCTCACCGTTTGCGATGCTGGCGTGGTGGCGTACACCTCGTCCGACGGCTCCACAAACGCCAAGGCCACCGTCCAGTGCATCGAGGCTGTCGACGAGCGGCCCGAAGCCGCAGCGGCGCCGTACCGTGCACTCCTCGGCCGCAAGCCGGGTCTTGACAACACGCCCGAGATCAAGCTCGACTTTGCCGCCACTGCCGGTGGCAAGCAAGTCGTTGACTTGGGCGTCTCGGGCCCGCGAGTCACAGTCATCTTTCCGCTCATCGCAGAGCTACTCCTCTTTTCGGCGCTGCCAAAGGACGAGCTCCCGGTCCTCCGCGACACTGTGACCGAGGCTAGCGACGACGCCGAGGCAGCTGCTGACACGGCTGCAAGCGAGCTGGCCGACTCGACACTCACAGTGCTCAATGTTGGGAACGCGAGCAAGGCGCGGGTGGACCACGGCATGCAGACCGACGCGGCGCAGGCTAAGACAAGAATCGATGCGCGGATTACAGACCTCTCGCTGGTGCTAATCGAGAACCCGAACGTGGTCGACTCGCGGGCGTTTGTGGTCCAGACCTCGGTTATGGCACCTGTTGCGCTCGGTGTGACTCTCCTTGGGCGGCCGTTCCTCTCGGCCCCGATTCTTGTGGAAAAGCTGCAGGTGACGACGTGTGCGCTCGCCGACGAAGCCGCGACGTCCGCGGTACTCCTGCTCCCGACCACGATCCGGGCTCACTACGACCAGGCTGAGTCGACCCGCCCGCTGCCGAGCCACATCGACGAGCACCACCTCCAGCAGCTCAAGCTGAAGGGCATCGAGTCGTCTGTCGGTCTCCTCCTCTGTGTCGCACACACCAACATCCTTGCCGATCTCGAGACTGTTGACCTGAGGGTCGCCTACCAGGACGTTCTTCTTCTCCTGGCCATTTTCGAGGGTCTCGACGTGGTCAATGCGGCATCGGCGGAAGCAGCATCCATCGCAGCTGGGCCGCAAGTCGAGTGCACTAGCGCCGCTGTGCGGCTTGACCAAATCGACCCGAGTGCGCTGGCCATGAGTTCTGCGCTTGCGCCGTTTGGCGGCGGCGCTCCCGCGTCGGCACTCGACGTTGCCACTGATGACGATGACGACGACCTTGCGGTGTTAGAGGACGCAGCCGTCTCTCCTGCAGACTCTGGTGTTGCTGCTGGTGACACCGATGGTGCCGGTCCGTCATCTGGCCCTCAGCCCATCGTCTCCAGCAACGACGAGTCGCTCGCGGCTGCCGCGCCGCCGCCCGAGCTGGCTGGCGACGACTTTGTGGTGGTCTCCAACGACGAGCTCGCCGGCAGCGAGGAATCGTTGCGGTTCTCATCGGCAACCATTCGGGTGACACTCTTTGACGACCGCGACGTCGGGCGCAACTCGCCGCTGGTGGCGCTGGTCGTCTCTACCCTCGACGCCCATGTGGGAAACTGGTCGGCAGCGCTTCTGGCGCGAGTCCGGCTGGGTTTGGCCGGTCTGGTGTACAACGCCAGCTTGGCCGAGTGGGAGCCGATGATCGAGCCGTGGATGATGACAGTGCGGGCGTGGACCTCCGAGCCCACGCTCACGGTGTCGGACGTCATCTCTGCGGCGGAGCTCCCACCAGCGATGGAAGTTCTTGTCACGTCAGACAACATACTGGTTGTCAACGCCACGCAGACCCTTGTCTCTACGCTCCTTACTACGGGCTCGCTACTTGAGGCTGAGCTGCGAAGCTCTGCGCAGTTTTATGAGCTGCGGCGGACTTTTGCACCGTACAAGGTTACCAACGAGACCGGGTGCGAAGTCTCAGTCCTCCTCTCGCCGCACGATGCGTTGCTTGTCAAGCCGTGGGCAAGCGAGGGCTTTGACTTTCCCGAGGCAGGCAGTGCGACTGACGCAGACGCGCTCTCAGCACAGCTTGTGCCACTCGGCGACGCCAGCGATGCGTTTGGGGCGCGGCTGCCGCGGCTGGGGCGGACGCCTCACTATGTGTGCCTCGTCGTTGCCGGCGGATGGGAGCCGATCACTCGCGTCCCGGTGGACCGTGTCGGGCGGACGGCATACACGCTGACGCCGACCAAGAGCGGGAAGCGTGTTGGAAAGTCGGACGGGAGCGACTCGGTGGCTCGAATTGTGGTCGATGTTGCGCTTGACAAGACCGGGTGTAAGGTCATCATGGTGCGGTCGTGTGTCTGGTTGGTCAACTCGACGCCTGTTCCGCTCTCGCTCCGATGCGAGGGCGCCTCCGATGGAGTACCAACCGCGCTTCCGCGGCTGGAGCCCGGGTGCGGGCGTGGGGTGCCAGTCGACCTCGCTTTCGCCTCGCGGGTCCGGCTTCGCCCTTCAGACGCCGACGTCGAGTGGTCGCGACAGACGCTGTTCTGGTTTGGCGCACATGGCGGAAACGTGAAGCGTCCATCAGAGACAACAGAGAAGAAGCGCACCCTGTATGCAGCGTCGGGCCGCACGCTCCTAGTTTACTGTGCTGCTGCTGATGCGAGCGCGTCTGCTGTAGTGCACGGCGAGCCGTGGCTGACCGTTGACGATGGAAGCGAGGCCGACGAGTTGCATGCCAGCGCCGCAGGCGTGATCGACCTGGGCTCGGCAGCCACAGACTCGGATTCTGATGTCGAGGACCAAGCTGCAGCCGGCGACGGGGACGGCGACGGGGACGGCAAGGCCGAGGACGAGGACGAGGTCGAGGTCGAGGATGAAGATGAGATTGAGGCCGTCACGCCGACGCTTCTCACTTCAGAGCTCCGTGACCACCTGCGTAGTCACGAAGACATGTACTTTGGTGTCCACGAGGTGGAAGAAGGCGTGTCGCGGCCACGGTTCCCGTACCCGCAGCATGTTTACTCGGTGTTTGCGCCTGTGGAGATCGAGAACTTGTGTGCGAGCGGCCTGAGCTACGAACTTGTGGCCCTCGAGTCGATGTCGGTGCACAGAGGCGAGGTGGGCAAGGGCGAGGTGAGGCAGGTTCTCACGGTCCATCCGGAGCTCTCTGTGGTGCTCCGCGTCAAGCTGCCTGGCTTTGGGTGGTCGGCCGAAGCGGTGCTGTTTGCAGGAGCAAAGGGCGAGCGCAAGGTACAGCTGCCGGGATCCAACAAGCGAGTCAAGATCAAGGAAGCCGACAATGTGGAGCTCGTGGACGAGAGCGGGCGGCGGCTGGTGCTCAACATTATGCGGACTGTGGCAGGCGAGGCAGGTGCGGCGCCGCTGCACGTCACCATCTATGCGCCCTTCTGGGTGGTGAACGCGACAGGCCAGCCGCTAGTCGTGGCACAAAAGCATGGATACAAAAAGTACTACGAGGCTGCCGGACTGCCTGGGACCGGACTGGCGCCGGATCCGAGAGCGCCTTTCATGTTCTCATACGTCAGGCTTGGCAAGTCGCTGCTGAAGAACCAGATGGCGGTTGCGGTGGGTGCGTCCAAGTTCTCCAAGGCCTTTGGAGTCTCGAGCGCCGGCTCGGTGTCTGCGGTCAAGATTGAGCGTGGGGCGCGGGACGACGACGACGACGAGAGCGCGGCCAACGACCCGAACGCTATCACGATTGTCAACGATGACGGTGAGGCCGTTGACGTTGTCCGCGACGTGGCGGAGCCGTTTTACGAGTTTGGCGTCCGGGTTGATCTCGGGACAGATCGGTTCCGCGTGGTCAAGATTGTGACGCTCACGCCGCGGTTCATGCTTGTGTCGCGGCTGCCGGACGGGATGGTGGTCGAGGTGCGGCAGGTCGGAAGCGAAGACTGCGGCGAAGTGCCTCTGGCGCTGCAGGCCGGTGCAAGCGCCGCGTGGCACTTTCCGCGCCACGACGCGCCGGACAAGATCCAACTGCGCTTTGCAGATGGAAGCGGTCCGGCGGCGGCCAACGGCGAGGCCGGAGACTGGGGCTGGTCGGGCGGATTTGACATCGACAACCTTGGCCTGGTTAACGTCAAGGTGGTCGAGGCAAGCTCAGGCAAGGTGTACATTTTTGCAGTGGAGATCCGCGTGGAGGGATCTGTGCTTGGAGTAACCATTGCGCCGGACGCGGGCGTGCCGCAGTTTTCGATTCGCAACGAGTCGGGCGAGGCGCTGGCGTTTTTCCAGGCCGATCTACGCGACCACCTCCAGGTGTTGTATCCTGGTGGGCGATGCGGGTACGCGTGGGACGACCTGTCGGCCAAGAAGCGGTTGACGGTCATGTTCCGTGGCGGGTCGAAGGACTCGGGAGGAGCCACGCGCAAGTACAAGCTGACGGCGCTCAAGACGTTCAAAAAAATCGAGCTGCGTGGCGGCATCCATGGCCCGCCGCGGGTCGTCGATGTGGAGCTCACGGCCGAGGGTCCGACCAAAGTGCTGGTATTCAAGGCGCAGCGACGAGGGAGCGAGTCCCGGGGTGGGGAGAGCGGAGACGAGGCCGCAGTGGTCAAGCAGGAGCGTGCGGACCTCGGGCTGCGCGTGGAGCTTCCGGGTGTCGGGCTCTCGCTCATTGATGAGCGAGCGCCGCGAGAGCTTGTGTTTGCCGCGCTGGTGGGGATCCGGGTCGAGGTCGAAGACTCGAGCACGTCGCAGACGTTCAAACTCGACGTGGCCAAGGTGCAGGTGGACAACGCACTGCCGACGGCGCAGTACGGGGTGCTACTTGGGCCCAAGGCGTCCAAGCTAGAGGACCGGTCGCATGTGGCGATCGACTTTTGGAAGTCGAAGACGAACCCGTCGCTTGAGCACTACAAGTTCCTCAACGTGCTCGTGCAGGAGATGGTGCTGTGTGTGGAGGAGAATTTGCTCATCCAGCTGCTGGACTTTGTGTTTTCGCTGCCGCAGGAGCAGGTTGCCGCGCTGACGCGGAGCTCGTCTGCCGTGAGCGGGCTGCCAGTTCTTGTGCTTCCCGGCGAGAGTAGTGGCGAGGGTGAGAGGCCGAGCGAGGCCGACGCGGTTGTTGTCTCGAAGCAAATGTACTTTGAGATGCTCTCGCTCAACTCGATCAAGGTCAACGTGACGTTCCTGACGTCGATCGAGGTAGACGCAGTGGACAAGGACTCGCCGCTGCGCGGGTTCCTCAAGGCGATCGGGGTGGCCGTGGTCAACATCGACAACGCGCCGCTGCGGCTCAACACGCTGGTGCTCGAGCATCCGTTTGCGACGCAAGCGGAGCTGACGGACCGAATTGCGCGGCACTACGTGCTGCAGGGGCTGGAGGAGTCGTACAAGATCCTGGGATCGTTTGACTTTCTGGGCAATCCTGTGGGACTGTTCAACAACCTCTCCGAGGGCCTGCTCGACTTTTTCGTGCTCCCTGCCAAGGGCTTCCGAAAGTCACCCAAGGCGTTTGCCAAGGGTGTGGGCAAAGGCACGTCATCTCTGGTCAAGAACTCTGTGTATGGGGTGTTTAACACAGCCACCAAGATTTCGGGCACTGTAGGCAAGGGCCTCGGCAAGCTCTCGTTTGACGACGACTACAAGCGCGATCGTGCGGCCAAGGCGCGGCAGCGGCCGCGCCACGCCGGCGAGGGCCTGCTGTTCGGCATGCGCGACTTGGGCAAGGGCGTGTTTGACGGTGTGACGGGCCTGTTTCTGCAGCCGATCAAGGGCGCGCGCGAGGGCGGAGCCAAGGGTCTGCTTAAGGGTATCGGCAAGGGCGTAGTGGGTCTCGTGGTCAAGCCTGTGGCTGGCGCGGTGGACCTCGCGACGCAGACAACCGAGGGCATCCGCAACACGACGACATTCTTTGAGAAGGACGAGGAGCGGCTGCGGCCGCCGCGGGTGCTCAACCTCGTGCGGCGGCGGCTAGCGGTGTACGACGAGGCGTCGGCATGGGCGCAGGAGCTCATCTTCTCGGTCAAGAAGCGCAAGTACGCCAACGCCGAGGCGTACCTGTGGCACACGCCCCTCGTCGACTCGAGCGGCAAGGCCAAGGACTGGGTCCTGCTTGTCGGGCTCAACCACGTGTTCAAGGCGCGGTACTCTACGTCGAAGACGATCAACCGCGGCGGGACCAAGGTCGAGTGGTACGCAGCGTGGGACGAGGTGGAGGATGTGGCGTGGGACGGGGCGCGCGAGATTGCGTTCACCATCCGCCCGCGGCTGGCGCAGGGCGTCAAAGCCAAGAAGACCAAAAAGTGCGTGGCGGTAATGGCCGACGGCGACGCCGCAGCCCGCAAGGTCTTTGCCATTGTGGGCAAGGTCCGGCGGGATGCTGGGCTGTAAAGAACTAGCTCATCCACGGCTGTGCCGGAGAGTACATACCGTGCAAGATGACCGCGAGCGCCTCGGAGATGACGTCGCGATCAAGCGAAGCAGCAATGTCGGCGACAGCCTCGTTGATAACGACAACCTCATCACCGAGGGCGGCGGCCCAGGCTGCGGCCTGGACCGGCGCCGCCTCTGGATGCGAGCCGTCCGCGACGGCCAGCTCGAGCGCATCAGCGACGGCGAGATTGGCACGGGCGACGAGGCGGGTGAGCGTCTCGATGCTCTGCTCGCAGCGGTGGAGAGCAGCGGCGGCAGCCCGCTCGAGGCGGGCGGCGGCAAGCGCAGGACTGCGGCCGGCCGAGTCGCCATCAGCGGCGGCATCGGCCTGTGGCTCTGTCGGCTCCTCTGTATCGGCGGCGGCGGTGGCGACGGGCGGCGGCGCCTCGCCTCTGTCGACATACTCGTGGCCCAAGCGGGCGTTTGCCACCAGAGTGGCCTTGTCCACGAGCACCTCTGTGGCAGCGGCCCAGTCTGCGGCAATGCTCCTCAGCTCGCCCTCTGTTGACGACGGTAGGAGCGAGAGCGGCTCATCCATGGTGGCGGGCAAGAGCGGTGCCACCCACCACTTGTCCACTACTCGCCCACCACCCGCTCGCTCGCCCACCCGCCCGCCAGAGCGCACTGCCGCTGCCGCCCGAGCCGCCGCCAAGGCCGACGCCGCCGCAGACGCCGCCGCTCGCCGCCGCTTCATCGAAGACCAGCGCCGCCTTGAGGAGGCAGCTGTCGCCGCCGCTGCGGACGAGGCTGCCCAGCGCCACGCCCGGAAGAGGTTGCGGATGGAGCTGATGCGCCGCAGGCGCGCAGAGGCCGACGCCGCGTTGGCGGCAGACGCGCGGCGCCGTCTTGCCGCCGCTAAGGCCGACGCCGCCGCCGCCGCGCACGATGAGCGCATGGGAATGCTCGCCGCAGAGGACGCCGCCCGCAAGCGCGCCCTCGCCCGTCAGCTCGCCTCCAAACACCGCGCGGCCGAGACCAAGGTCGAGGCCGCGGAGCGCCGCAAGCGCGAAGTTGCCCAGCGCCGCAAGCGTGTCCAGGCCGCCAAGCGTCGCGCCGCCGCCCTCCATCGCGCAAATAAGGAGGCCCGCGCCGCAGAAAAGGCCGCAGACCTCAAACGCATGGAGGCCATCCGCGACCGCACCGTCGAGCGCCGCAAGCTCGAAAAGGCCACCCGCATCGCCGCACGCGCCCGTGCCGAAAACGCCCGCATTGCCGCCGCTCTCGCCCACAAGGCCGACGAGGAGGCTGTTGCCGTCCGCAGGCTCGTCGAGCTTGAAGCCGCCGAGGCCGAGCGCCGCGCCGCATACCAGGAACTCGTCGACCACCGCAACACCCTCCTCGCCCTCCGCAAGTCGTACTCGGACGCCAAGCACGACGCCGCCGCCGTCCGCCGCACAAAGGCCGAACTCGAGGCCGTCGAGGCCGCCCAGCGCGAGTGGCGCGCAAAGGAGCGCCGCATCCAAAAGGTCCAAAACGCCCGCGAGCTCCGCTCGCTCCAGTCGCAACACATAGCCATGGTCGACGCCGAATTCCGTCTCGAGCGCGACTGGATTCGCGACCGCCTCGCCCAGGGCGTCTCTGTCGACGACCTCCTGGCCGAGATCGACGCCCTCGGCCAACGCGCCGGCCACCGCCTCGCCGCCACCCACGACGCACTCCTCGCCCCGCACTCTCCTGATGGTGCAGCACCTCTGCCCGATCGTCCCCTCCCGCCCCCGGCCTTTCTCCACGACCCAGACCCGCAGCAGCTTCCGCGCCCGCCGCCGCCCGCCGCCCGCCACAATCCCACTCCGCGCGCCGCCCGCCTTGCGTCGTCGCTCGACGCGCGCCTCCCGCCCGACAACAAGCATGCCAGTCGCCGCCCCCGCCGCGAGGAGCGCGAGTATTAGCGCACCTGAGTGTGTGTATGTGTGTTACGAGGCCACCACCAGCCACCATGGTCACCCGCGCTGCTTGAGCGTGATCTTGTCGCCGAGCGAGAGAGCAATGCCCTGCGTCTCGGAGCGGATGCGGATAAAGCCGCCGATCTTGCCGTCGGCCTGGCGCTCGATGGAGACCTGGCCAAGCGCGTCTTCGCCAAAGATGGAGCGAGCGTAGAGGTTGGCGGCGAGAAAGTCGCAGTCGCCGGCGAGGGCCGACTCGGGCGTGAGGCAGCGCATGTTGGTCGACTCGGTAACGTGCTTGAGGAAGCGCGGGATCGAGGTAAACGACGACGAGATGGCAACGCGGTTCTCCCACGCGTACTGGGCCCACATGGAGCGGAACTCGGAGAGCGAGACCGTGGCCGGCATGACATACGAGAGGATGTCGAGCGAGATCGACTCGAGCACGACGCAGTGCTTGTCGTTAGCCGACGAGCCGGCAACGTCGTAGGTGCAGACGCCAAAGATGATGCCGGTCTCGGTCGACGAGACCTTGAGGTTGGCCCTCACCGTGCGGAAGTTGTGCGGGCCGATGGTGAGCGCCGTCGGCCGCTCCACCACCTTGAGGTCGCCAAGCGTCGAGAGCTCGAGTGTCAGGTTCTGCAGCGTGTCGGCCGTCTGGTTGACAATGAGCACCTCCATGGCAATGTCGTACTGGTGGACCGAGAGGTAAGCCTCGGCATAGACCGCGTCCGAGAACCCGGTGAGCTGGAAGACCTGGTCGAGCTGCAGCTTCGAGTCCGAGGCTGACTCGGACTTGCCGGTCGCCCGGTAGATGTCGACCGAGAGGTCGTCCTCAAAGATGACGTCGCCGGCGCCCTTGGGCCGGAGCTGCGGGATCTGGATGACGTCGTCGACGTGGACGTCAATGACCTTGCGCTCGGTCGTCGCCTCGGCAGCTGCGCTGCTCGCCTTGGTCTCCAGCAGCGCCGCAAACGTCTTGCCCGACAGCTCGAGGAAGAGCTTGCGGAGAACAGGCGAGGGGTTGGCAATGACCCGAAGGCAGAACGCGACCCGCGCATACGCATCCGGGTCGATCGACCGACCGCCGGGCAGCCCCGCGCCGGTCCGCCCCGACGCGCCCAGCCGGAGAATCGAGTTGAGAATGAGCATGATCTCCGCCGCAATGGCGTTGGCCCGCTTCGCGTCCTTGATGATGTCCAGTGCCTTGAAGACGAGCTTGGTGAGCGTGGTGGCCAGGACGGCACCCAGGAAAAGTCGCCCTTGAACAGCAGGTCGCGTAGCGGGTAAAGCGACGACGTCGCCGCCGTCGCCTCCACGTCACCGTGCCGCGACTCCGAGTACGCCGACTGGGTCGCGTACGTGCCGTCAGCGTTGAGCCGCGGCGCGCTCGACGCCTTGGGCGGCGGTGCAGATGCCGAGCCCTCGGTGGCAGCCGCGCCCTCATCGTCCGCCTCGTCCTCGTCGTCGGTCAGGAACGGAATGTCGCCGAGCGTCGACCGGATCGACTTGAACGCCTCGGACACGTCCTCGCCAGTCTCGGCGTACTCGCCGATGATCCACAACGCGCCGCGCATGACCTCGGACGAGTGAATCGAGCCAAACATCGCCATGAGCTTGTGAAGGACCGGCTTGCGGAGGTGCGGGTTCGTGTGGACCACCTCGCGGACAAAGACCACCACGTCTGACGCCGACGCCGACGCGTCCGACACAAAGTCCATCAGCAGGTCGACAACGTCGGCCGCCACATCCGGAAAGTTGACCGCAATTGAATGGATCGACTGGATGAGGATCCGCCGGTACTGCTCGGCCTTGGCCTCGTCCGACTCGGCCTGCGTCCGCGCCACCTCCTTCTTGAGCACCGCAATGACCTGCGAAATGTTGCGCGGCGCCACGAGGTCCATGCAAATGTCCAGCGTCTTCTTGCGGATGTCCAGGTTCGGCGAAGCCAGCGCCCGGAGAATGTCCATCAGCACATCCTGCAGCACACGCGTGTACTTGGCCTTGAGCGTCGCCAGCCGGTCGAGCACAATGAGCTTCACGTTGTTGTCGGCTTGGTTGACAATGAGGTCCACAAACGTCGTCGCCGCCGCACGCACCGCCGTCGCTGCCGAAGACAGGAGAATAAGCGTGATCGCCGCCTCGAACCGCACAGACGGCGACGTCGAGTCGAGGAGCGTGCCCACAACACGGATGTACCGCGACCGCTCCGACGGCGACGACCGGTACACCTTGCGGATGAGCTCAATGACCCCAAGCTGCATAGAGTCGTTGAACGAGCTCACAGTCTCCAGGTGCTCCGCCAGATACTTGATCGCCCGCGCCTCGTCGCACGAGTACAGCGCCACAAACGCGTTCCGCTGCACACCCTCGTCGTTGTTGGCGGCAAGAACCTCCTCCAGCAGCTCGGCCGCGTCGGGCACCAGATCCGCCGACGTCATGTAAATCGACATCAGCGCCATCACCGCGTTGCGCTTGACGTACGTGTGCCGGTGGGTGAGGCACGTCTTCACCGACGGCACAAGCGTCTCCAGCAGGTCCGCCTCCTTGATCCGGCACAGGAAGCGGAGCGTCGAGCCTCTCACGTACTCGTTGGGGTGGTTGAGGTCCTGCATCCACGCGTTACTATCCCCACCACGCACACAAGCTCTCCTATGAGTCCTACACCCCACCAGCCATTCTCCATCCCACTCCCTTCACCCCACCCCTCTCACGGGTCCCCCTCTCTCCTCCCGCCCCGGAACCCCCTGGCTTGCGGCCGAACCGCCGTTCGGTGGCCGAAAGCAGCAAAAAATGGAGCCACGTCGCCAGAGAGCGACAAGGCAGGGGGGGGGGCTTAGGGCGGAGTAGGCAAGGAGGCGGAGAGGGGGGGGAGGGGGAAGAGTATGTGCTTGCAAGTTGTACGTACCAGACCAGGATAAACTCACGCTTGAGCGAACCGTCGGGCTCGTTCTTGGGAACCATCTCAAAGTAGTACAGAAGCAGCTTCTTGAGGGCCTTGTCGCGGGTGGGGAGGACGAAGCGAATGACCGTCATGAGCAGGTCCATCTTCTCGCCACCGGCAAGCATGCTCTCAATGAGCTCCTTCATTCCCTCGAGCTTGACAAGGTCGTCAGAGTTCTCAAGCTTCTTTCGGATCTCATTCTGTGTCGCAGGCGCTCCCCGTGCCGTGGACAGCAGCAGTGTGCATGGCACTTCAGTCATGGCCACTGCCTTGCAAGTCGAGTCTTGTCCCCGCTGGCTGGTTGACTGGCTGGCTGGCTTGGCCGCCGCCCGCCAGCCGCCGGCCAACCAGCCGCTGGATGCACAAACTGACAAACTCGTCGCATTGAAAGCAAAATACTTTCACCACTGCCTGGCCACCGCCCGCAGGAGCCTATGCCTACGGCAAGTTTCATTTTGTCACAGAAGGAGCATCTCATTGCTTTCTCATGACAGCGTCGGCAACGCAATGCCGCCGGGCGCAGCATCGGCCGACGACGCAGACGCCACATCGTCGTCAAGTGACATCGAGTCGAACAGCCGCGACGAATACGTCCGGATCCGGCTCGCCACCTCGTCGGGTGCGTCGTCGGCAGCAAGCGCACTAAGGAGCTCGGTGAGGTGGCTCTCACCGTTGAGCTCCTGTGTCCGCGCGAGATACGCCACCGAAAACGCCTCCTCCTGCGCAAGGATGAGCTTGGCCACCGAGGCGTACGCCGTCTCTACAAACTCGGGCGGCACGTCAAGGCCATCTGCAAGCGCCTCATCGGCGCCCGACGATGCCGGGCCTGACGTGAGCGAGTCCAGGAACTGCGACATGGCGTCGTGGTTTGAGACCACAAACTCGTTCATCTTGGCCATGAACGGCTCTTTGCTCCCAAACTCCTTGCCGTTGGACAAGTTCTGGATGACCTTGGCCAGCAGAATAAGCACCCGCTGCGCCGACTTGTTCGGTGGGCCCTCGAGAAGGCCGTAGGCGTGCGGCGCCGTGAGCGCAGGAACCAGGAAGCGGAGGAAGAAAAATCCGCCGACCGTCACAGATCGCAGGTCACTCTGCAGTCGCGCAAGAACGCGCCCGGCCTGCGGCGAGCCTGGATTCTGAACCGCAACCTGATCCTCCACAAACCGCGTTACAAGCTCGTAGTCGGATGCAATCGTGTCCAGGTTCTCCGACCATGCCGCAAGCAGCTGGTTGCGCTCAGCCTCGCTCACTCTCGTTGCGCCCAGTGCGTTCAGCAGCCGCGCAGCTTCGTCTTGCGACGTCGCCAGCGAAGCCGCTGCCGCACCGATTGTCTCATGGACTGACGACGCCAGCGACGCAAGCGAAATCGGAAACTTGGCGCTCGTGGCGCTCATCACCACAGCAAACAGCTCGCGGAACGATGGCGGCACGTTCTCCATCGACATCTGGATCCGCACCCATGCCGACTGGCAGAGCGTGAGGAGCTTGAACCGGTTGACGTCCACGTTCGAGTCGAGCAAGTCGACCTCGCCGTCGTCGGGTCCCGCCACCGACACACGCTTGGCATCAACCTCCACGCGCCCGTACTTGGACACTGCCTCCGCCACCACCATACCCAGCGTCGCCGACAGGTAGTCGATCCCGTGGATCTTCGAGAACACTTTGAACGCCTTGGTTGCCAGCGAGTTGGTTCGGAACAGCGTGTTGAGGGAGAGCGCGCAAGCCACCTCGGCTTGGACCTGCGCCGTGAGGAACGCCAGGCTCTGCCCGGCCGCCTCATAGATGTGGACCAGCGATCGCGCGGCTAGATCCGCGTCTGCAGTCCCCACCACATCTGCCAGCGCCAGCGCCAACGCAAAGTCCGGTGGCCACGAGACCATCGCCTTTTCCAGCGCGTCTCGCTTGACCCGGCTCAGCGGCGGCGCGCTCCGCGATCCCAACGTCCCGTACACTACCGCCCGACGCAGCTTGGCCGTCAGCTTGAGCGGCTGCACGCCTGCCTCGGCCTTGGATCGCATGTAGAGCCAGAGCCCGGTGAGAACGCCGGCAACCACTACAACAACAACCAGCACCACGGCAGCCACAATACCTCCCGTGTTTGACGAGCTCGGTGATGGAGTCACAACGCCCGCCACCGGGCACGCCGCCAGCGGCGTCTCACTTTCGCCGCACCCAGCCGACGCCGTTGTGCACACCCCGCTGCTCGCGCACCAGCCACACTCGGCAAGGAGCGAGACTGTGCACTCGGCGCAAGTTCTCGGCATCCCACAATCATAGTACGTGAACGACGACCCACTCGCATAGTTGCGCCCGCCCTTCGCCACCGTCATCGGCCCGCCGCCGGCCTCGCGCCCTGCAGGCATCGTACACTCGAGCGCACTCGACGAGAGCCGCACACACACACCAGTTGCATCTGCAAGCGGATGGCTGATTGCGTAGTCGGTCCCGGCCACAAACGTGCCACCAGCCAGCACCACCCGCGTCCCACCCGCGAGCGAGCCCGATGTCGGCGAGCCCGCCCCGCCGGTCAGCGCCGGGCAGCTGGCGTCCGACGACGCAAACACGGGCAGACCGCCCGAGCACGCGCCTGCGGTGGTGCACTCGGACGACGAGAGGCACCATCCGCAGTCGGCCCCACCGGCAGTGCATGCCGAGCAAACGCTGCCTACGCATGCGTAGTACATCACAGAGAGCGTCGAGTCGGCCACCGTCGCCAGTCCGTCTGTTCCCGCCGCCGCCACCGCCGCCTGCCGCGACGCCGCTCCCTGCGACGCCGCCGGAATCGCGCACCGCACAACATGGCTCCCGTCGGTCGTCGCCGGTACCACAATCGGCGTGCCTGCCGCAGTAAACACGCACTCGAGCACTCCGGAGCTTGCCGCCCCGCCGCTCACCGCGCCTGCTCGCAGTGGGTCCAGCGTCAGCGTCAGCATCGTCCCGCCCGGCGCGCCTACCGACAGCGGACTCACCGACGCCATGCGCGGGCACTGACCGGCGGTAGTCACAAACGGCGAGTAACTCGCACACCCGGACGCCGGCAGACATCTTCCAGCAGAAACACAGAACCCACACGGCGATGCGTTCGGCACGTTTGGCACATACGCAAGGCACTCCGAGCATGATGAGCCTGCCGGTGCACACTCGTACGCCTCGAACTTCTTCTCCGGCGCAGAGAGCCGCTTGGCAGAGCCCGAGCGCCGCACACCCACGGTGAGCGCCATCGGCAGCTCCGCCGGCGGAAAAGTGCACACCAGCGACGGTGGCGAGCCTGAAAGAAAGGTCGTAGGCACCTCCATGCCGGCTTCGGCATCGTCTGCAGACGTGTTGTAGAGGCAGGCCATGCCGGCGTCAAAGCCGGTTCCAGTCAGCGTGACCAGGAGCTCGGCGCTCGAAATCTCTTGTGCACTCGGTGCAATCGAGGTAACGGCCGGGCAGTTGTGAAAGGTATCGCCGACGGCGCAACCGCCCTCGGTCCCCACGTCGCGGCACGTCGAGTCGCTCTCGCACCAAAAGCACGAGTTTGAGCCAAACGCGCAGTCGGCACACGACGACGACGACTCGCCGCAGGTCACGTACCGGTAGCTCGCAAGCGGGTCGCTGCTTCCGATGAATGGCGTAAAAGCTCCGTCAATCGGCAGTGGCGGCAGCGTGCCGAGCACAAGCTCGAGGCTCACGTCGCCGCTGCTGCCGCCCACGGCGCTCGGCGCAACGCAGCTGACCGAGCTGCTCGTTGGGTTCCAGCTCGCACCCACAGCCACCGTCTTGTTGAACACACACGTGTAGCTCGTTCCCGCGATGCTTGGGTCAACAAAGCCCTGTCCGGTCAGTATCACCGAGTTGCCACCATCCGGCGGGCCCTTGGACGGCGCCACACGGCTAAGCGCGGGGCATGTCTCCGACACCACAAACGATGCTGCCTCGCATAGGCTTGCGATCGTCGACGATGGCGAGCAAAACCCACCGTAAGAAGGGCACCATGAGCAGACTCCTCCACCGGTCGCCACACACGCATGGCACGACGAGTTGCTCGATCCGCACGACACATACTCGAGCGAGTAGCTCTCGGGCGCATAGCTCGCGCCCAGGTGTTCCAGCGACATGTTGGCCGTCCCGGCCGGACCCGTCGGAATTAAAGCCCGAAGCTCGGTCTCGGAGACAAAGGTCGTGCTCGCCGTGCCGTAGCCCGTATCAAACCGAGCCGAGACCGCAGGCAAAACGTCGACAAAGCCTACACCAGTGATTGTGAGCTCGCCGCTGGCCGCGGTGTCGGCGACAACCGCGGTTGGGGCAATCGCCGTCACCGCCGGGCACACCGTCGGCGGCACACATACGCTGTCACGCTTCTCGGTGCAGGTCATCGTTGTCGCGCACCACGCGCAGTAGCCGTCAACCGCGCAGCTTGCGCACGAGGTATAAGAGCCGCAGTCATGGTGCTGGATTCTGGAGAGTACCGCAGGGTCACTGGCGGTCACCACAAACACCTCGTTGGTGTTGGGAACGAGAGCGTAGTCGCGCGTGCTGGACACCTTGTTCGACGTGAGCTCGAGCGTGTCGTACACACTCAGGTCTTCCGGATCAAACCGAACAAGTGCGTTCGGTGACGAGGTGACAACAAAGAGAGCGTCGCCGTCGGCATCGTACCACATCGCACGGATGGTGCCCTTCGCGATGCCGAGGCCGACCACGGTTGGCGGGATGGACGTCTCGTCGAGGGCAAGAATAAAGTCCTGGTCGGTCGCGGCGAACATCTTCCGGCGGACCTCTGAGTATGCCAGCGCCACGTAGTCGCAGCAACCGACCGTGTGGAAGGCGCCGTTGCGGGGGTTTGCTCGCTCAAGGATGGCGATGCGCGCCTGCTTCCACCCAATCCACACATGGGTGTCGGTGGCAGTGGCCACAAGTGTCTTCTCCTCGCATCCGCTCGGACTAAGCTGCGGAAGATCAAAGGCCTCGTTCCGGATGCCATCGTGGATGAGAAGTGGTGCAGAGGTACTGGCCTCACATAGGTACGTCACATCGTAGTCGGCGTCATGGAACATGACGTGGAGGCTTGTACCGTACGACTGGACGACAGTGCCTTCGGCCGGCGATGCAGTCCACGTACCCGAGGCCGGCGGAAAGGGGATGGTCACCGTGCTCCTGGGGCTTGCCCGCACGCCGACGATGAGATCGCCGTCGCTCCGCCGCGCCACGCCGACCGAAGACGAGTCCCAGGCGCGAAAGGCGACGACGCCGCTCGCTGACAGCCCGCCGTCCGCCTCGGCCTGCTCGTCAAAGGGCCACGTCGCCCGCGGCACCGACCACAGCACCTTGTTGCCGCAAAAGAAGAAACGATCCGTCGGCTGATCGTACATCATCGCCCGCACCACTCGATAGTCTCCGTGACTCTGCTCCTTGTTGGCCAGCTCAGCCATGCCAGAAAAGGCCGCAGCAGAGACAGCCAGCCAGCCTCCAACGATGGCCACACTCGCCAGGGCGACCACGAGCCCATGCGCGGCACTTTCCCTGTCCGGTGTACCATACCGAGTACGCAAGCACTAGAAAGATAGGTATGGAGATGTGGGCCAGAGAGAGTTCCTTTGCCATAGTGGCTGGTGATGTTCCTCGCGAACGAGCGTGGCGCACCTGGCAAGGCTTGCAAAGGTTGCAAAGGACTTCGGTATAAAAGAGCAAACTATGTTCTCAAAAAGCATTGTATCCTCTGCCGGGATTTTGCCCACCACCAGCGATTGTGGAACCTGTCGTCGGCAAAGGCGCCCTCTGCTTCGCCAGAACAGCCCGGGACGCAAGCCGGAGAGCCAAGACTCGGTCAAAGCCGCACCACTGCCGCCACCTCCTCCTCCACCGAGTACACCTCTCGCCTACAAGCTGGGATGGGCCGCGCCGAATGTCCGGTCTGCTTTGGCACCTATCCCTCCGCCCTCATCCACGCCCACGTTCTGGTCTGCCTCCGCGCTCCCCCGCCTACGCTCCCGACCATGGCCTGTCCGCTCTGTGCCCGTCGCTTTGCCCGCTCAATCATCGAGAGACACGCCGCCACATGCAATGGTCCGCCGCTGGCGCGGGCCTCGCCGCGGCTTGCGCCACCGCGTCGCGTCCCTACTCCTGCTCCGCGCTCCGCGCAGATCCCGCCGCTCGCGCAAGTACCGGTCACACTCCCGCCGCCGCCATCGTCGCCGACGGCTAGATCGCTGCGCTCGCCTGTACGATCACCGGCCCACCCGCGCGTCATGCACTTTCCGCCGCCGTCGCCTTCGCTCGCTGCCTGTGCCGGCCGAGTTGCCTCGATCCTCACCGCCTTTCCCCGCCGCCCGCCGCACCCACATCCGTCACCGCGCGGCCAGCTCTCGCCACGCCCGCACATGCACTCGCGCCCGCTCGCATCTACGCTCCCGCTCCCGCTCCTGAATCCATCACCAAGCCACCGGTTGATGCCGCGGCAACCGGCATCGATCCGCACACCGCGAAATGCGATCGTGACCGCACGGATGGCGTTCCCCAGTCCCGCCCCGGCTCCGGCTCTGTACGACGCTCCCAAGCTCGCCAAAGCGTTCTACTCTGCGACCACGTTTGCGAATACCCTCTCGACCTTTGCCGCTATTGCTCACTCGGTCGGGCTCGACGATCTGCCGGTGGCGGAGCGGTACCCGGTCCTCCGCGACGCGTGCTTTGGACATATGCGGCTGCGGCAGATATTCCGCCAGCACCTTGACCCGCTCCGTGCACGCGAGGGCTACGCGTCCGCCCCGTGCACCGGGATGCGGGTCCTGGTTCTCGGTGCCGGTCCGGGTGGCCTGCGGACCGCCATCGAAGCGGCGGTCCTCGGTGCTGAGGTGCTGGTCGCCGAGAAGCGGCACAGGTTCTCGCGGCACAACGTGCTGCACCTGTGGAAGTTTATGGTCGCCGACTGTCAGGCGCTCGGAGTCAAGGCGCTCGCGCCACGGTTCTGCCGCGGCGGCCTCAACCACGTCTCGATCAAAGCGCTTCAGCTTGCGCTCACCAAAATTGCGCTCCTCGCCGGCGCCGTCGTGGTGCCGGGCCAGTCCGTGGCGGGCGTCTCGGCCTTTGACAACGATAGGGAGCGGTGGCATGTCGAGCCCGAGGCGGGCACCGAGCTGGCGCCGCGGGTTGCGGACTTTGACTTTGATGTGGTGGTCGGCGGGTGCGGATCGGCGGCTCCGCGGCTCCGCGGCTTTACATCGTCGACGTTTCGGGCGAACGTGGCCATTGGCATCACCGCCAACTTTGTCCGCCGCGGCTCCGCCGCCGAGTCCAAACTCCATGAGATCCCAGGCATTGGCCGGCAGTACCATCCGCAGGTCTTCAACGCCATCGAGGCCGAGACCGGTGTCGCACTCGAGAACCTGGTTTACTATCAGGACGAAACACACTACTTTGTCATGACCGTCTCCCGCGACTCGCTTGTGGCCCGCGGCGCGGTCATTGCTGACCTCCCCAGCATCGACGCGCTCCTCGCCCGCGACAACATCGACTGCGACGCACTGCACGCCCTGTGCATGGACGTTGCGCTAGCAGCAACCCGGCTGCTCGCCGGCGCTGAGCTGCCCGAGCCCGAGTTTGCGCTCACAGCACGCGGAGCGCCCGACGTCGCTGTCTTTGACTTTACCGAGATCTCGTACCTTGACGCTTCGGCGCGGGTAGAACTCGCTCGCCGCGGCTCCAGCGAGCGCTCGCTGATCCTTGCTCACGTCGGAGACGCATTGCTTGAGCCGTTTTGGCCGCAGGGTACCGGCGCGTCGCGGGCTTTTCTCTCCGCGCTCGACCTCGCGCACATGCTTGTCCGACTTGCTGGTGGCACTCCGGTGCCCGAGGCGCTTGAGGAGCGTGAGCGCGTCTATGCGCTCCTCTCGTCGACGACTGACGGCAACATTCGCAAGACCTTTGCCTCACACACTCACGAGCCGGCCAGTCGGTACGACTTTGTGCCGCCACCGTCGGGACGCGACGTGTCTGATCTCATTACCAGCGTGTAATTCGCCCTTCTTTTACCGTCCGCTGACCGAAGTACCGGCAACAAAGAGGCCAAGACCGGCTGATGGCGCCGCATCCGGCACGAGCGCGTGTTTTCCGGGCGGAGCGCCAGCGCTCGAGCCTGGCCCACGGGCTGGCCGCAGCCGCGACGATGCGAGCTGTGGCGGCCTGCGGCGCGAGGTCTTGAGGTATGAATTCTCGTTAAAACGGGCAACACGGGCCGGCGGTGCCTTGGCCGGCAGGGAAGGCGCCGGCTCGTTCTCCTTGGTCGCCGCAAGCAACGCAGCGAGCGAAGCAGTGCGGGCGGCGGTGGAAGCGGCGGCCGCTTCGGCCGCAGCGGCGGCTGCAGCTTGCATGGCGAGGTCAGAGCGGGGCCCCCGCTCCGGTGAGCCAGCCAGCGAGTTGGGCTTGAGCTCCATATCCGACGGGTGCGGCAGGTGCGGTGGGGACGCTGCGGCCCGCGCATCGGCTTCGGCGGCCTCCTTGATGCGGGCGTGGAGCTCAGTCCGGGCCTCCGGCAGAAGGTTCCACGACAGCGGCATCGAGAGCGAGGTGGTAATCGAGGCTTCAAAGAGGGTGCGAACCCGCGAGACATGGACAATGGCATCACGGCGGCGCTTCTCCTTGACTCGCTTGCGCTCGAGCTCGGCCGCAATGGGAACGCCAGGTATTTTGGCAAGGATGTCGAAGAGCTCCTGGTCGTACACCATCGGCCTGCCCTCGCAATCGATTTCAGGCGGCGGGAGGCCGTCGGTCTCGCCGCTGTCGGACTCTTCCTTCGGCACCGGGGGCGGGCGGGAGCGGCGGACCGACATCGAGCCCTTGCTCAGCTTGGCAGCGAGCATCTCCTGCGCAGCCTTGGCCCGGCCAGAGAATCGGGCCTTGATAGCGGCAGCCTTGAGTCGCTCGGCCTCGGCAGCCTCACGCTGGGCAAGCGCGTGCTCGCGGCGCTTAGCCGACGCCGACGTCTCCGAGTACAGCGTCGAGGTGTTGACAAAGTATGGAGCGTAGACGGCCATGGCGTCGTCGTCGGGCGTCGGATAAATGCGCTTGTAGCCACTGAGGACCGAGTCCTCGTACGCGGTCTGGGCCTCCCAGAACTCGGGACTCTGTCTTGCTGACGACGAGGCTTCACCGTCGGCACCCGCCGTAGCGGCCACAGGCCGCGAGCCTGGCGACGGCGTCGCTTCGGCAGCCGCCGCTGCCCCAGCGAGCTCGTCGGTTGGCGCGGTCGAGCCGGCGCGGTTTGGGGCCGTCAGCCGGTCCTGCACCGCGGCGCGGTGCGCCTTGTGAAAGCGCGACTTGGCCTTGGGGTCGAGGTTGAGGAGGGCGAGGGCCTCGGCGATGACGCCGCTCTTAACGTTGCGGTCGATTTCGGCGTCAGTGCCAAACGACGGCGAGTGGTTGACCTCGAGAATCCACGGCTTGAGGGCGGCGTCGATCATGATGTCAAAGCCAAGAATCTCAAAGCATTGGAAGGGGGTGGCGGTCGGTGCCGATGAGGTGAACACAGTGGCGTAGGTGTGGGCGAGCGTCGGCTGGGCAGTGATGAGGGTCTTGATGATGGCGTCCTCGATGGAAGCCCAGAGGGCCGGGACGTCGATACCGGCAGCAGCCCACTCGGCGTTCTGTACCTTGATGGAGCGCTTGGCGCCGTCGGAGCCATCGCCGGCGGAGAAATTGGTGTTCTTCTTGTTGACCGAGTAGTTGGTGAGGTGCTGAAAGGCCGAGCCGAGCGACTTGGACGTCGGCTGCGAGTACTTTTCGGTGCAGAGGCGGACAAGGCCGTCGTCGTAGATGAAGATACGTAGCGGGTCGGCCGAAGTGACGAGGACGTAGATGCGAAGGTCGAACTTGTAACCGTCGATGAGCAGCGGGTTGTTGACATACACCTGCGCCACGTAGTGGTCAAAGGCGCCGATCTCGTCGCCAGTGTGGGTGAGGAAAATGCCCTTGCCCTGCGCCGAGTTCTCGGGCTTGCAGATGAGTGGCTTTGCAGAGCGCTTGCGAAAGTGGGCCTTAAAGTCGCCGTAGTCGGCTGGGAGGATCCAGGTCTTGGGGAAAAAGGTGAACGCGTCCGGAAACTTGCGCTGCATGCGGGTGAGGTTGCGGGCGAGTGAGTCCTTGCGACAGATCTCGTGCATGCCCGGGAAGTGATTAATCCGCTGGAACGGCTTCATGGTGGAAAGGATTTGCAGCGGCGCCGTAGAGTCGATCCAGTACACGTCCCACTCTCGGGCCGCGTTGGACTCTTGCACGTGCCATCCGAGCTCGGCCACGCACGCCCGGACCACCTCGTACTTGCACTGCTGCACACAGACGTTGACGGCCTTGGCCGACTTGCTCAGCCGGGTCCTCGTCCCGCGGTTGTTGGCGGCGACGGCATCGGCCCGGGACTTGAGCCGCCTGCTCTTGGACGAGCTCTGCAACCGTTTGGCCGACGTGTCCATCTTGGTCATCATGCCCGAGACCTCGGTCAGCAGCTTCTTTCCCTTGCCACTCCGTCGGCTCCCCGTCGTCGTCACCGCCGTCGACGCTGGCCCACCCCCGCGCCCACGCCCGCTCCCGCTCCCGCTGCCTCTGCCACCTGTCCGACTCGACTTTGCCAAATTTTGAATGGCCGCCCGACGCGCGCCAGGCCGAGCCGAAGAGGCGGCATGGCGGACCGCGGCTGGGCTGGTGTGGCCAATGTCGGAGTCGTCAGACTCGTACTCGTACGAGTATGCGTATACCGAGACTAGGGTGGAGCCCTCATCAGACTCGGTGTACTCTTCGTACTCGGACGAGGTGTCTGTGCATGTGCTTGCGCTTGCGCTCGATTCGTCCGCCATGCTGGCGAACACTGGGCGTGGAGAGGTGGGCGAAAGTGAGTGTGGTTGGCTGCCAATTGGCTCTCGCTGGAGGGGTGGGAGGGGGGAGGGGGGGCGCATGGAGCGACATCATCAGCAACGACATCATCAGCAAGCACAACACAAACGACATCATCAGCAAGCACAACACAAACAAAAGCATGAGTTCAATCGTGGTCGTCAATCATGGTCGTCAATCGTGGTCGTCAATCGTGGTCGTCGTCGACGATGGCGGCAAAGGGCTAAGGGCTCCGGGGCTGCCCCCCCTTACAACTCCCCTCCCCTCCCCTCCCCTCCCCCTCCCCCTCCTCCCCTCAGCCCTCCTAATCATCCTTACATTTGCACTTCATTGCTCGTCCGTCTCTCGTCCTCATCAGCCACGACACAGTCAATCACCTCTAACGCAGAGGAATCGCAGCTACCGTCACGCGTCGCGTCACACTCCCCGCCCCATCGCTTGCCTGCAAGCCCCAGCCCACAGCCCGATCCTCTCAGTGGCCGATAAAGTAGTCGATGGCGGTGGAAAAGGCGGCAAAGCCAGCGCACGAGGCGGTGGCGGCGGCCGGGCCAGCGCGGATGGCAATGACAAAGCCCGAGATGCAGCCAGCGATAGGCGCGTTGGCCAGCCGATGGGCGCCGTAGTACTTTTCAACGTAGCACTCGGTGCCGGTATAGATGGCGCCGATGAGGCCAAAGCCCTTGGCCATCCGCCATGAATGCTGTCCGGCGTGCTTGAGCGTTCGCTTGAAGAACTCCTTCTTGCTCTCGCCGGCCACCGCCGTCACCTCGTTGTTGATCGAGCCGGTGATAAGGCCAAATACCGCTCCGAGCCCCATGCCTGCCACACCAGACAGTGGCGCCTTGACGTAGCACGCCTGCATCACGTCCTGTGCCTGCATCTGAGAGACGCCGCCGCCCTCAGCTCCGTCGCCGGCTCCGCCGCCGCTCACCCCAAACCCGCCGTCGCTCGCCATGCTTCCCACGCACGCGCTGCCGTCTGTACGCGCCCTGCTGCTCTGCGCTGCGCCTCTTTATGCGACCGGTGCCCTCGCTCCGTCCGCGTAAAGTGTGTCCGGCGAACTGTCTTCTCCCCGGAGCCTCCCGCGTCGCGTCGCCGCGGCATTCGCGGGATGGCAGTCGCGATCCTTGCGAACTCTCACGACGGACCGTTGCGCACTCGCAGGCAAGGACCATCGCAAGCGTACAAGCCATGTGGGAATCGCATTCTGGCTACACCTTTACGTCTCAATGATGCCCACGGCACTCCGCCGTCGCCCGCTGTCGGAATCGACCGAGCCCATCGAGACCGAGGCCACTGGTGACGCACCCGAGACCGAGGCGCGGAACTGGCTGCCCGAGCTCTTGCGCGAGAGGCCGCTGGAGCGGCCGGAGCTGTTGCCTGTGGTTCGCCCAGGCGTGGTGCCCGGCGACCGACCGGGTGACGGAATTGGAGCGAGCGTCGAGCCCGATGAAGCAGCCATGAGCGCCTGCTGCGCAAGCTCGACCGACGCCAGAGACGATCGCCGGCGGCGGACCAGCGGCTCTGCCGACGTCCTACTCGACGATCGCCTGGCGCCCGTTGTTGACCCCGTCCGCTGCCGGTGGGTGCTTGGCGTTCCAGCCCTCGATCGCGCCGTTGACTTGGGCGTGCCTGAAATCGACGACTTGCGCCGCGGCGTGTTCTCGACAGACGCCAGCGAGCGCCGCCGCTTGGTCTCCGTCGGATCCTCAAGGACTGCACCGAGCAGAGTGGTGCCGTCCAGGTTGTTGCTGGCGTGCATGACCGGGTGATCCGTCGGCACAAGCGTGCCTTCGCCCGAGACCGACAATCGGCGAGGCGTGTACGAGATCGAGCCGCGCTGCCCGGTTGTCCGTGGCGTGCGGTGGGTGTAGGACGAGCCACCGACGCCTCGCGGAGTCACCTGCGGCGACAGCCTGTGCGGCGTTGTAACCCTTGGCGATCTCGAATGCAAGTCACCGGTGAGCGACCCGTCCTGAGAGTGGGCCAACATGTTGGCCAAGCCATCCGGGCCCTGCGTCATCGCCAACAGGATATTTTGTTGCAAGGCAGACGTAAACAGCGCTTGCGTGTCCGTGGTGGGTGGTGCCGACGTCTCCCACATGCCAGCGCCGTTGTTAGGCGCCATTACTGCCGGCGCCATCCGTCCATGCGCGTCCTTGCGGAAGACTCGCATGTCACTCGCCGCCGAGCTGCCCGCAAATTTGGAGAACGACTCGATGACACTGACAAGCCGTCCGTTGCGCGACCGCATCTTGGCCAACGCTTTCTTGTGCTCGCGCGCCTGGCCCTTCAGCTGCCGCTTGAGGCTTTTGATTTCGTGCCGCTGCCGCCCGATGACCAGGTTGAGCGACTCGATAGCAGCGGCGGCGGCCTGCGCCATGAGGTCCTTTTGCTGGGTGGATCGTGAGCGGACCCGTTGCCGCGTCGCCACCCGCGAGCCTGCCCGCGACGGCACTTGCTCGCTGCCAGACTGCGCATCATTGTCCAGTGCACCGGCGGACCGATTGCATACAGACTCACGCCGGAGCTCACGATCCGACACCCGCTGCTCCTCGCCAAAGTCAACCGCCGAGACCGAGCACCGGCGAGAGGGCATGGTGCGCAAAGGCACACCGCGCTGTGGTGGTGGTGAGACGCTTGGTGGCGACGACGACCGCGAAGGTGCGCGTGAGCCCACCCGCGAGCCCACCCGCGAGCTCGCACGAGACACGCTCCGCGATCGCCCGCCGCGCGAGCCGACAGCCGATCCGTCATCGGACGCAGCAGGCTCCGCCACACGTGGCACTTCGGCGACAACAAGCTTGGCCGGGTCGATCGAGCTGAGAAACTTGGACGAGCCGTGGCGCAGCTTGTGCTCCAGGGCCGTGCCGCGGATTGAATCCTTTCGGCCGCGTGACAGCGGCGTGTTGCCGCTGCTGGCCACGCCGACGCCTGAGCCGGCCGACGTTTGGCCTGGCGAGCTCGAGGCGAGCACCAAATGGCCGGACTCGTTGGTGACCGGCGTCGGCGAGGCTTCGGACGAGGTTAGCTTGCTCGCCCTGTGTGGGCGCGACTCGAGCGGTCGCCGCAACCGGCGCCCGCTGGTTGTTTCGTTCTGGAGCTTGCTGGCGAGCGCCGCTGCCGAAATGGCTGCGCGAATATCAAACGACGACGACGTTGAGGTGACCGACGAGTCCGAGTCGGAGCCTGACGCCTCACCGTCGCCCGAGCCTGACGACATGACCGAGTGCGAATGCGAGCGGCGGTAGGCGTCGAAAATCGAGCCTGTCGACCCGCCAGCCGACGACATGCCCTGATGGTGGGAGCCGGGTGCGAGCGTGTGTGCGCTGGTACCAGCAGTCTCGACGGCGCCGGCAGCCGCGCCGGCAGGGGAAAAAACCTGCGAGGCGCCCGAGTTCATGGCGTTGAGCTCGCGCATGCGCTCCTCGGCCGTTTTCATGATGTCGAGGTCAAAGATGGTGAGGCCGTGGAGGGCAAGCACGTCGACAAAGTCGCGCTTGGAGAGCACGTCGAGCTCGCAAAAGGTGGCGGCCCGGACCGACGCCGAGCGGCGCGCATCCTCAGACATGAGCGCAATCTCGCCAAAGTACTGGCCCTCGTACAGCGTGACGTACACAATGTCCTGCTCCTTGTTGCACACCTCGACGCGGCCCTTGGAGAGAATGTACATCTCCTCGCCAATGTCGCCTTCGGTGATGATGTAATCGCCCTCGTCGGCAAACTGCGGCTTGAGCCGCAGAATGATGTCGGTGACAAACTCGGGCGAGGTGCCCTTGAACACCGGGTTGTTCTTGAGGATCTCTTGCGAGAGAAAGGTGGCAACCTGTGCCCGCAGCGCGCTCGACAACTCATCCATCAGCTGTTTTCCGTCGGACGCCGCCTTTTGGCGCGTCCATGAGAACACAAAGTGCTCGCGGATAGCAATGCGGATGTCATTGGGGAAGCCCCAGTACGCGAGGTACTTGTTGACCTCATCCATTCGCTCTTGCGCCGCGTCGCGCGAGATGCGGATGACCAGGTACGTGATCGAGCCGATGACGTACGAAAAGACGCAGAGCGAGAGTGTGAGCACAACTAGGGCGTAGGCTCGCTCCAGCAGATTCTGCGGCACAATGTCGCCGTAGCCGACGGTGGAGACTGTGAGCGTCGCCCAGTAGAACGAGGTGATGTACTTGGCCGCCACTGGGCCCTCGTCGATGCCGATCTCCTCCACCCACGTGTGCCGCCACCCTTCCTGCAACGACGAGATGAGGAAGAAGCCGCAGGCAATAAAGTGGCAGTAAAGAAGGACAAAGGTAGTGACAAAGAGAATGCGCAGCAGCGATCCGTTGGCCGAGGCCTTCCACTTGCGGAACTTGCGCGTCGACCGCACATACTGGATGAGCCGCAAAAGTCGGTGCATCCGCAACAGCCGGAGAATCTTGGGTAGCCGCGCCACATTGCGGTCGGTTCCGGGCCAGATGAGGCGGACAACGTGGTCAAAGGGGAAGACGGCCAGGAGATTGATCCAGAACGGGCCCTTGAGCTGGACCTTGGCAATCTCATGCGGCTCAGTCACCCACTCGCCTTTGACCTGGACAGCGGTACGAAAGGCAAGAATAAGGTCGAGGACAAACATTGCGTCCATGGCGTACTCAAACCAGAGCACTACGCCCGTCGCCTGCGAGTCAAACGAGACCCGGAACGGAATCATGAGTGCAGAGTAGACGAGCGAACAAATGATTACAAAGTCAAAAGCCCGCCGTGCCGTCTGATTCGGATGAAGGACCCACTTGGATTTGGACTGCCAACCGGTGTCCTGCCCGTCGATTGACGACTGCTCGTCGTCCGAGTCGAGGCATGACCCCGCCGCGCTGGAGGCCTCGGGCATCTCCAGAGCCGACGACGGCTCAATGCCCTCGACCGACTCGCTCTTGGCCAACATGCCGTCGGTGGCAGTCGGAAGTCGCTTCAGCTCAGATTTGTGACGCAGAACAGACTCGATGGCGAGCTTGGCAGCCGATGCTTCAGGTGAGACTTGGTTCTCTGCCATCCGCGGCGATGCTGCTGCTGACGGTCCAGTCACCGTCATGGGCGGCGGCAAGAGCAAACCGGCGCTCGACATGACCGACGCCGGATTCGACTCGACGTCGTCCAACGCAACTCCCTCGACAATGGTGGGATGGCTCTCCACAATCGACCGCCCACCGCGACGGCGCGACTGCGACCGCGACCGTGACTGCGATCGCGAACGCGGCGGTGAAGCCTTGGCCGGGAGTCGGTATGTTGAGAGGACCGACGCCACCGAGTCATTGCCGGTGGACGCTGCTGCCGACGCCGAAGCGATGTCCGGCGCAGGGACTGCCTCTCCACGTGGCGGCTTGGCACTCGAGCTCGACGACGAGGTGCCAATGGACGAGAGCAGTGACGAGCTCGACGACGAGCTCAACAGCGAGGAGCTCGACGACGAGTCTGGCGAGACCGAATCGGACGCGGTTGACGAGCTCGAGCTCGACCGCGACGAGCCGGTCCGGGTAACCGAGATGGCGATGGGAGAGCGCGGCGAGGCATCGCCTTCGCCTCCGGCGGCGTTACGAGCTGTGAGCGAGGTCGACGACAGCCTCAGTGGCGGCATCGATGGCTGCGACGACAGCGGTGAGATGGTGTCCACGACCGAGGGTGCGCCCTGCGACGTTCGCGATGCTCTGCTCCCTGTCGTCGGCCTGCGGTCCCTAGAGTCACGGCTACTCACAGATTCTGCACCGCCTTCCTGTCGAGGCGCCACCTTGTTGTGACTGGGCATAGTTTGAAGGGGGCCACGCGCACGGACAGTTCGTGTCGCCGTTGCCTTCTGTGTGTGTGCTTGTCGAGCGGGAGGCAAGCAAGTGTGGGTTGGGTGGGTGGTGGGTTGGGGTGGGTGGTGGCGTGGGTGGTGGAGGTGGGTGGTGGGTGGTGGGTGGTGGGTGATGGGTGGGTGATGGGTGGGTGGGTGGTGGGTGGTGGTGGGTGGTGGGTGGTGGGTGGTGGTAGGGAGAGGGAAGTGACGTGAGTGTGGTGGAGTTGATCGGGATCGTGATCCATGGGCCGCTGGCCGGATGCAGGTGGCGGGACGTGGCGGCGTGGGCAGGAAACAGGAGAGAGAGAGAGAGATTGGTATCGGTCGGTTGACAGGCGATCTAGATTGACGTCTGGAGGACAAGGGGAATCACGACGAGGACTCGGACGAAGAGACCGAGCTGGCGTCGGCAACAACGTCAGGCTTGGAGGCGAGGCTCGGATCGAGGACCTGCTCGATGGCTGCGATGTAGTTGCCCATGCGGTGGTCGTCAATCATCGAGTCGGCGAGGTCGATGGAGGAAAAGTTCGAGACGGCCGACTTGCCGACCTTGCGCACAAAGTAGGGGACGAGGGCAGAAGGATCGCGCTCGGCGAGGGTATCGTCACGGATGAGATGGTAAATGTAACCCGGTGGGTAGAGCGGAGTGAGGCCGGACTGCTTGATGAGCTTGGCAGCGTTTGGCCGCTTCTTGGGCAACTTGACATGGACGGCCTTGGCTTCGCGGCGCGGCTTGTCACCGCGGACGGCGGCGATGACCGAGGTGAAGTTCTTGCCGAGCTCACGACGGGCCTCGCGGGCGTGGGCGGCGAGCAAGTCCTTCCACGGAAAGGCCTTGAGCTCGAGGGCGAGGCACTCGAGGTGGGCAGAGGAGAATCGCGGGACAACGTCCTCGTTGAGGATGAACGAGGTCACATACTTGGTGGTGCTCTTGGCGAGCTTGGCCGAGAAGCCGGCTGCGGGCGCAAAGACTACGGCAGAGACCTGCTTGCCGAGCGATGGGCGAAGGTCGAGGGCAATCATGGCCGCAGTCGCGCCGCCGAGCGAGTGGCCGGTCACCTTGAGCATGTAGCCCGGGTTGCGGTCGAGGAGCTTCAGGATGGTCTTCTTGCGCTTGCGAAGGAACCACTGGGTCGACTGGTAGAAGCCCTCGTGGACCTCACCGCCGTACGCGTTGACAGCTGCGGCCGAGATGTCGGTGAGCACATCGTTGAGGTTGTTTGTCCCGCGCATGACCACCAGAATCTCCTTGCGGTTGGGATCGTTGACGATCATGTAGCCCGGGGCGTTGACGTGCGACTCGCGCGACCACTCGACCACATTGTCCATGGTCAGATCCGGGGTCTCTGACAGGTGCTCCTCCAGCCGGAGCTCAAGATCGGCTTCGTCGGCACAGTAAACAGCAAAGGCGAGGTGAGCGTAGTGCAGCGCGTCGGCTGCAACCTTTCGGGTCTTGCGCCCGGCGCGCTTGAACTTGCGCCGCGGGCGGGTCGCGCGGTGGTGCTTCTTGAGATAGTACATGCCGGCGATCAGCTCCGAGAGCGAGAGCGAGAGCTTGGCCTGCTTGGCCGAGTTTACCATCTGCCTCGCGAGCAGCTTCCGCCGTGCGCCCTTGGTCATCACTCCAACCAGCCGCTGGCCAGGCTCGGTTGCGCCGTTGCTTCCGGCAACATCGACGTCGCCGTCTGAGCTAGCGCCGAGGCCCGAGTCCGCGTACGAGTCCGAGCACGAGGCAGAGTAGGAGGCAGAGCGAGTGTGCGTGGACGAGGAGGAAGAAGACGACGAGAAGAACATGTCGAAGAAAGTAGGAAGGGCGGTGGCGAGGGGTCGGCCAGCTGGCGGGAGACGTGTGGTGCTCATGTTGCGCAATTTTTGCAAGAGTGTGGTTCACTGCGGTTGGGCGTAGCCGGATGCAGCCGATGCCTTGGCCCACACAATCGCGTAGTGGGCGGCGAGCTGGTTGTACATGGCGGCGAGGAAGACCTTGCGCTCATCGAGGGCCTTGGCCTCGGCGGCAGCGATGGCAAAGGCGGGCGTGTCCGGCGGAAGCATGTCCGCCACCGAGTGGGTCGAATGCAGATGCTTCTTGAACAGCCGCTGCTTGACGGCGAGGCGGAAGGCAGTGAGGGCGTCAGCGTCAGCACCGCCGGCGGTGAGCGCTGCGAGCTTGGCAGCCTCATAAGTGCGTGCCACCTGGGTCGCGGTCAGCTTGAGCGCAGCGCGGATGGCGTCGGAAGTGTCCTTGGCCAGCGGCGCGCCAGGCGCGCCGAGCGCGTCGGGTTTGAAGTAGCCGGCGGCGAGACAAGCCTTGAGGTCGGCAACGTCGCGGAGAGTGACAAAGGCCGGCGCCGGATCCTCGACCGTGATCTCGATGATCTTGTCGGTGGCGCGGGCGTGGTCAAAGATGGTTTCGAGCAGGGCCAGGCCGTGGCCGGCGCGCTGGAACGGCGGGAGGATGATAAACTGCGAGACGCGGTAACGGATCGAGTCCGGAAGCGCCGCAAAGCGGTAGCATGTGGCGTAGCCCACAAACTTGGGCGCGGCGCATCCGGATGCTCGCCGCCAGAGCGTGTACACGTCCCACCGCGGATCTGTGTCTTCGATGAAGCGTGCAGCATCAATAAAAACGATGGGGAAGAAGCGCATGCGCTTATGCAGTGCACGCAGCGCCTCATCGTCGAACGTGCCCCGGTAGACGGTGTAGGTGCCGTCGTCACGGCTCCAGCTCGCCATCTCGGTCCCGGGCACCTCGGCACCCGCAGCGGCGTCTGGTGCGTTGCTGGCAGCAACCGAGTCGAGCAGCGCCGCCCGATCCGCCAGCATCGAGCTCGGCTCGAGCCACTCTACAAAGGCGGCGCCGATGTCGTCTGCCGGCACGCCGTCGTTGGTCTCGGCCTCGACCTTTGCCGAGTACTTGACCTCGAGCGCCACGTCGAGCGTCGTGGCGTTGAACAGCAGCTCGATGGCCAAATCGGTGTATCCGTAGATCTTCTCATCATCCTCAAACACCTGATGCATCATCTCGGGTGGGAACGAGGCCTTGCCTTCCTCCTCATCGCCGGTCACCTCCTCCACTGTTCCCCTCCGCGTAGAAACTACCTCACGTGAGTTGGCCCTGATCGAACGGGTGGGGAAGGGGAAAGACGGTGGTGGGGTGGAAGAGTGGGGGGAGGGGGGAGGGGGGGGGGGGTCTCTCGTACCGAGGGTGAGGGTAGTTGCTTCGTAGGCAAGACAGACATTGTCAGGCAGTGGCTCGTCGCCGGTCTCGCTGGCCATGGTTATGGTGGGGGAGTGGGGGGGGAGAGAGAGAGTTGAGTGGGCGATGGCAAGCAACCGCGTCATGTCAGCAGGTCAAGTCATCGTGTTCATTGACATTGACACCCACACACCCACGGGAACGGAGGGTATGGGATGGATGAGGGGGGAGGGGGGGGGGGGAGGGGGGAAGGTGTACAGAAGGAGCCGTGGTAGAGGGACGGCAGGCGGAGAGCGAGGCAGCGAATCACTCGTCAGCCCCAAACGTGTTCTCGCCCGAGTACGTGGCGTAGAGGAAGCCGTCCTCGTCGCGGTGCTCCTCGTAGACTGATGACATCAGCGAAGCTGTTGCCGGAATGGTGCCGTTGACAAAGATGAAGATGGCCTTCTCGGGCGAGAGCCGGATGCGCTTGCGGATGACGTACACAAACTGGCCGACGGTCAGGTCTGCCGGCACCAGGTACTTCTTCTTGTCAATCTGTGGGATGTCTCCAGAGTTCTCGGCCTTCTCACAAATGACCGGAATGCGGTCAGAGTACTTGGCCCGAATGCGGTCGGCTTCGGACCGGCGCTTCTCCAGCGAGTGCTCGGCCTTGAATGAGTTGGCCGACATGTTGTGTGTTGGTTGAGAGGCGGTCGATGCAAGCCACAGAGGTACACGCGCCAGCTACTGTTCTATAGACTCTTGCAGCAAGTTCCACTCACGCACCAAGCAGCACTGTACGCCGCACAGCACACAGTTCCGCAGCGTAGTTTCCCCGCGCCACAGCCCACCCGCCGCCACCAAAGCACGCCATCCACCACCACCCACGTCCATACACACACCAATAACGATTCCGTATTCAGCCACCACCAAGCGCGAATCCAACACACATCGCACATGCCACCCATTACCCACCGTGAGTCATTGCAGGGCAGTGCGAGGCACTGGCTCGTGCGTCTAGCGAATCACAAAAAATGGAACGACGGGCCAGGGCGTCAGACGTCATGCAAGGGCCACACCACCGGCACGGCCTGGCGATGCTGGGAAGCTTGATGGAGAAGGCAAACCCCGCTAGCATGCCTTGTTTCCCCCTTCTCCTCCATCTTAGAATGGGTTCTCTTCCCCTTGTTCGTCATCCGTTGTCTGCAGCCGGCTTCGAGTGTGCCTTCCAGGAACACTCAGCGACACGAAGCGGCGACGGGGAGGGCAGAGCCCAACCCGTCACCGCTTCAGAGCCTCAACGGCTAGCCACAAGACAACGGCCGGTTCCCCCGCCTCCTCCCACACACCCTACCCTCTCCCACACATACCACCACACCGACACACTCCATTCTCCATACTCACTCTGTCCCCCATTCCCTCTTCACCCTTGCCCTCCCTCCCCTCCCCCCAACTCTCTTCCTTCATTAACCCCAAACCCACTCGCATGTGCGACCTCTCCGCCTTCACTTACAGTTTCGAGAGGGGTGTTGCCAACCAAAGATTGGAATGGAAATGAAATGACAATGCAAAACAGCAGAGAACAATGGCCAGACAGCGGCACGGGGGGGGAGGGGGGGGGGGGGGGGGGAGTCAGCGACACAGCCACACTCGGAACTGTTCCATTGAGTCACGTCGAGTTGTTCATGGAACACAGGCACCACAGCAAGGTGCACATGCCGAAAACACACGCGCACACTCTCACACTCACACACTTGTGCACTTTCACACACATATGCATCTGTAGGGCGAGATCACGGCGAGATCACAGCGAGATCACAGCGAGATCACAGCGAGATCACAGCGAGAGGAAGGTGAGAGCAAGGCAGGCAGCGCGCCAGCCCCCCCCCCCTGAACTCGAGCGGTCACGGGAAGCCACCTCACGCTTCAGCTGCAACTCTCCCCACACTCGACTGCGCTCATAGAGCCAGTGGCTACGCTCGCGCATGGCTGACGCGACCGAGCCTGAGCTTGGATCGGACGACTGGGTCGACGAGAGGCACAAGGCAGTGTTTGGCCACAGCGGCGGCGATGAGGCCGAGAGTGCATTTGATCTGCTCAAGGTCTTCTCGGAGATCCAGGAGGTCGTGCCGGGCGTGTGGCTGACGTCGCTGGACGGGGCGCAGCATCGCGCACGGGTGGCCGCCACCGGCGCGTCGCACATCCTCTCGCTCGGTCTTCCCATCCAGATGCCGCCAGTCTTTGCCGGTGACGACGAGCTCAAGCTGACATACAAGATCATCAACATTGCCGACGACGCCCGCAGTGATCTCATCGGCGTCATCCGCCCCGCACTGACGTATATGTCCGAGGCCGTCTCCACCGGCTCAGGCGTCATCGTCCACTGCCAGGCCGGCGTCTCGCGATCGTCGTCGGTCGTCATCGCCTACCTCATGGTCGATCCGGCCCATCGCCTCTCATATGCCGCCGCTTACGAGACTGTCCTTGCTGCCCGTCCCATCATCGAGCCGAACATCGGGTTCCTTGCCCAGCTCGCAGCCTTTGCCCGCCAAGGCGCCCGCCTTCCGCCGCCGCCCGACCCCGATCCCGATCCCGATCCCGCCGCATCTCAACACCCTCACACTCACCGTACTCATCCATATAACATGGTCTAGTTGCCCATCTAGCACTGCCCCGCCTGCGCCCGCCCCGTACACCCTCCCACCCCAACACCGCCACCACCAGCGAGACTACTTGCCGTCGGTGATCCCGCCACCTCACGCCTCCCCCCCCTCCCCCCCCCCCAACCTCCCCACACCGCACTCCGTGCATGATCGGACTGAAGACACCAGCACTCATCGGGCTCGGATATCTCCTCTGCCGCTACCACGTCCTGGACTATGCGCTTGTGCTGAAAGACCTGCCCCTGCTCTCCCACAAGCTTACCCTTGCCGCCCTCGTCGCTGCTCCCGCCGTCTTCTTTGTCTTTGCCCTCGCTCTTCCCCTTGCCTCGCTGGCCCACGCAGAACGCGCCGCCTTTCCCAAGCCTCACTCAGACTTCCCACGCCCGCGCTTCCTCACTGCTGAAGCCCAGCTCCGTCGCCGCGGCTCGTTCTAGCTCCATTCTCTCCCGCCATGGCCTCGTCGTACGGCTCAGGCCTCGCCGCTCTCGCTTCCGCCTCACCGCCGCGGCTCCCGCCGTCATCATTGCGCACTGCGCCGTCAACTGGTCTGCTCTCGCGAGCCCGCCACGGGTATGCGTCGGCCGGCGCCACTCCACGTACCATGCCGACCCAGGTCTGCACCCTTTACTGGCCGCGCCACGCCACATCGTCGCCGTCGGGCTGGCTCGTCGGATGGAACATCGGTGGCTTTGTCGCCGCTGTCGCCGCCGTCGTCCCAGACATCTCGCACCGCGAACTTGCTGCACGTCTCACCAACGATCCGGCTCTCGCCGCCGTCGCTGCACGCCTGCCCGCAGCCGCCCAGCTCTCCATCCTCGGCCGCTGGCACTCGGAGCTCCTCGCTACAGGCGCGCAGCCGGCGGCGTTTGCCACTGACTCACCCGCCTCGCTCAACGTCCTGCAGCAGGCCGCCAACTTTTGGTTCGAGCTCGAGTGCGCCGCCCTCGACGCGCCCGTTGTCCTTCGCGAGATCTACTGCTGCGGCTACCGCTACACCCGTGTTGCCATGCACGTTGTCGTCTTTGACCCGCCGCAGGACGACCACTTTCTGGCCATGACCCCACTCTCGCTCGACGTTGTCTCGCTCCCGCTCCCCCGACCAGCTGCAGCCGCCGAACCGGCCACGTTCCCACCACATACGACGGCGTCCAGCGAAGGCGCGAGCCCACAGCACCAGCCTCCCGCCTTTCTCCCACCCAAGTCTGGCACGCCCGCCACCGTTGTCCCGCCCATCGCCGCCATGCCACGCTTCGCCAGCCTCCGCTCGTCAGGCTCGAGCCTGCCTGGGCCGTCTATTCCTGACACCGGCGTCATTCTCGACCACATCAACGTCTCGCGGTCGATCCAGGCTGCGCTGCGAGCACAGCCAGCCGAGCGCGCCCCGCGCGCGCTCCCGCCCCCACTCTGCTCGCTTGTCTGGCTTCTCGCGGTCATCGCCTCGCTTGTCTGGCCGCTCGTCTTTCCGCTCCTCCGCGTCGGCTACCGCGTCGCCGTCTTTGTATCGGCCGTGCTCAACGCCCGTTTCCAGCCTGGATCCAGTCGCTCCTCGAGTCGCACCTTCCGCCGGCCACACCGGCGTCGCTCGTCGCCATCTCGTCAGTCGCCAAGCTTGTCGACGAGCGACTGCACCAGCTATGTATGCTCCCACACCTTGCCGCCGCGACCATGGCCCGGTTCGATCGGTCAGCAGTCTCGCGCGCCCACTACATCCACGCCGTCAACCAAGCGTGGCTTCTCATCAACGACCTCGTCTTTGGCGTCATGGCCCTCTTCCTCGTCCGCAATCATGCCGAGCGAGCCATCCAAGTTGTCCACCGGTCCTCGCTCCTCCTCACCGGCGGCGACATCCTCTCTTCGCATCTCATGTGGCTCATGGGCTGGCCGTCGGGCTTCAAGCTCAACGCCAACTTTGACGCCTTTCTCGGCGCCAACTTTCTCGCCGGCATCCAGGCCTGGCGGGCGCTGACCGACTGGCTCTCGCCAGCCAATGTGTACTTTTCTATGCCGTCGTCACCTCGTCGGTCTTTGGCCTCTCGATGATGCTCGCCGTCCTCTCGGACCTCCTCTCGGTCATCACCCTCCATGTCTACGTCTTCTACCGCGTCGCCGCAGGCCTCTACAAGTCGCTGGCAGACGTCATGAGCTCGCTGTGGAAGCTCTTTCGCGGCAAAAAGTACAATGTCCTCCGCAAGCGTATCGACTCGTGTAACTACAACCTCGACCAACTCCTCCTTGGCACCATCCTCTTCACCATCCTCTTCTTTCTCGCCCCACCACCATCGTCTACTACGCTTTCTTCACTCTCGCTCGCCTCGCCATCGTCACCGCCCAGCTCGGCCTGCTCCTCACCATCTCGCTCCTGCATCACTTTCCGCTCTTTGGCCTCACTGTTTACGCCCGCGACTCGGCTCGCCTCCCTGGAGGCATCCGCTTCCAGCCCATCCGCGGCTCGGTGCTCCGCCTCTCGCTTCCAGCCGTCAAGCGGAACATCATGTCGGCTGTCCGCGACCGCGATGCCCAGAAGCCGCTCACCGCTCCGGACCCGGCCGCCGCCTTTCGCCCCTGGACCACCTATTTTGAGATCCGCAACCGCCCGCTTCCGCCGGCCGCGCTCTTTTTCCAGTACTCGCGCGTGGCCAAGCTCGTCACGGCTTCACAGCCGCTCATGATCTGGCCGCTGCTCTCCGGTGAGCCCATCCGTCCACCGCCTGACCTGCAGTACCCGCGTCTTGCCGCCCTGCCGTCCGCCGAAGACTTTGACGCCCTTGGCGAGCTCATTGCCCACGCTCTGGCCCGCGCCAAACTGCTTTGGGCGGCATAGTAGAACCAGTAAAGCCAGCCTCGCCTCACACCTTTGGCGGCGAGCTGAAGATCTTGCGGAGGACCACAAAGGCATGCGTTGACGATGCGTCGTCCGGCGAGTCGATGTGCGACGCCGCCAGTCGCCCCATTGCCGCCTCTCGCTCCGCTTTGCTTCCGTACGCCACCTGCGCAAGCTCCAATCGCGCCGCTCGCACTCGCGCCGCTCGCACAGCCTCTGCGGTCATCGGCCGGGTGACAACGCCAGTGTTGCTAGCCCCGCTCGGCGAGCACGAGCCGCGGCTGCTCCGCCCACAAGCCCCGCTCCCGCTCCCACTCCCACTCACAATCCCGCTTGCCATTCCGCTCCGCCACGGTGCACGCCGTGACTCTTGCCATCGCGCATACGCCTCGTCCGAGATCTCGTCGAGCCGATGCGAGCTGCCGTCGTCCAAGACACTCACGGCTCCGGTCTGCCGATCCCTCACCCGCTGCGCTGCCAGCCGTGCCGCGCGCACCGCGCGCTCCTCGCGCTCCGCTAAAATGGCTGCCACCTCGGCCTCGGTCAGCGGCCGGCGCGCAACTTTCGCCGGCGCCGTCATCGGGCGTGCCCGTCGCTGCCGCCAAGGCCGAAGCCGCCGAGTCGGTGTGGCCGGCTCCGCGGACGCTCCTGCTTCGACTTCCGCAACAGGAGCAGAATCCGAGAGGCCAGACGACGCCTCAGTCATTGAATTGGTCTCCTCCTCCGACTCTCTGTCGTCTGCTGCGACCATCGCAGACTGGCCAACGGCACGCCGCTCGTCAACCTCGGTGAGCACCGCCACCGGGGCGAGCGGCACCAAGAGCGGCGATCGAGACTTCAGCTCTGGGAGCGGACAGACTGGTGTCATGGCAGCCTCTGCATCGACATGGTGGCTCTCATTTGCAGATGGCAGCGGATGCGGGTGGACTGTGCGGGTGACTCGGGCAGCAGCTCGTGTCCGTTCCCGGCACAGGCAGGCGGCGAGGACGAGGACGACCATGAGCAGGCCGCCACAGACCACAGCAACTGGAGGACGGGAGAGGGTGAGTGAGGAAGGGAGGGGAGAGAGAGGGAGAGAAGAAGGGGAGGAGAGAGAGAGGGGGGTCGTACTGGCCCATAGAGTCTCGTCTGCCAGCATGGAGAGTGAGGTGCAGTGGCCGGGCTGGCCCGGCGGCAGAACGGCGCCGTTTGTCATGTGAGAACTGCGGTCAAGGGTGTTCGTGTTTGATCCTCTAGCACGAGGGCAGGGAGGTGCGGAGTAGGGAGTAGGGAGTAGGGGGGGGGGGAGCAAGGGAGGGGGGCGGATCCACGGTCAGTTCGTGGAGGCAGCCGCAGCTTCGTCGTCGCCGACGCGGGCGCGCTCGTCATCAAACGAGTTGATGGAGCGGAGGACGGTGACACCCGAGGCGTCGACCTTCTTGACAAAAAAGGCCGGCATGGAGACCATGAAGCGGGTCTGCAGCTCGGCGATGCATGCGTCGAGGATGGCCAGGATCTCGTCCTCGGACATGTTCGGCCGCCACATGCGGTCCATGAGGCCGTAGGTAAAGTACGCGCCGTACCCGTGGGCGCCAAACGGCACCTTGGCCATCGCTGCGAGGTAGTCCATAAAGTACAGCGAGGCGCCGTCAACCTCGTCGTACCCGCCGATGAGCGTGTTGACCTGCCACGGCTTACGCCGCAGCGCGTCCGCCAGTGCCTTGCGCGTCCACGCCGCAGCCTCGGCCGTCGTCAGCGCCGTGTCGTTGCGGAGCTCGTACAGCTTGAGGTTCTTGGCCACAAACTCCGCAAAATGCGTCCGATCGCCGGCATCTCCAGCGCATCCCATGATCTTGTACTCATCCAACTGTTCAAACCGCACCGCTCCGCTGTGTGAGTCGCCTGCCGCCTTCTCCCTCCTGCCGCCTGCCGGCGCACCAGCAGGTCGCCCTGCGCTCTCCAGCCGGCCACAGCCTCTCGCGGCTACCTGCTTGCAGTAGCCCACGCCCATAGCTCCTGTACACATTCGCCTCTTGCCTCTCCTGCACCAGCACCTCTCCACGCACGAGTGGCAGACGTGGGCGGATGCCCAGCGGTAGGTGACCTGCTGGGACTCGCCCGCAGCCACAGGTCGCCCTCTGCCCGGCGGGTCGTCTCCCTACCACAGCCACTGGCGGCTCACCATGCCCACCAGGACTCGGTCACTACCACCACACAAGGTCTCTTCATACGTAACCACATAGCCATTGCCCTGTACGAGGCATAGGGGGGCGGAGGGTACCGCGAGTGTACGTACACACACACCCTCCGGCAGCAGCGTGATCGCCGCGACCTTCTCCCCCCCCAAAGGGCAAAAAATGGAGAGACACAGGACACAGGTATGGAAGGGCGGGGATGGGCATGGGTATAGGCATGGACATGGGTATGGGTGACATACCTCGGGAATCTTGTCCTCGTCGGCCTTGATCCGCATAATCGAGCGGGTCTGTCCGGCGTCGGTCGCAATGATGGTGAAGCCATCGCCCACAAAGCCCAGAACAACGTCCATGGTGTGAGAGGTGGCGGGGGAGACGGGTGGTCTGTGGTCGGTCGGCCCGGGCGACGACGGGCGGCGGGGGCGGCGGGGGGCGGCGGTCGGGGATCGGACCATCGACGACGGATCATACGGTTTCCTTTTACGAGAGTGACGCATCACAGCCGAGTTGGCCGCTGGAGTCGCAACGCTGCGGGTACATAGGTGAGAGGTAGGGTAGTGGTAGGCGCACTGGTGGATGGCCGAATGAGGGGAGTGGTGCCCGAAGGGATGCTCGCGTGCTGCAGGACTACGCTGGCGATGGCGGCGTCAGGCGTACCGGCTGGCACGCCGCTAAGAATGGCAAACGCACCGAGTGTCCGCATGCCAAAGAAAGCCCCGAATGCGGCGTGCGAAGCAGAAATCACAGCCAGTGGGACGCGCTTGGACTCGCAGAGAAGCGGAAGATGGGTGAGCAAATGAGCGGCGCCAGACTCACGCGCAACGACAACTGCCTCAACCTTGCCCTTCTCCAGCGCCTTGGTCACCGCGTTGATGCCTAGTGCCGTGTGCTTGAGCGCCCGAGCCGGCACCGCTCGCTTCCTCCGCGCCGCCGCCCGCTTACCCTTGCCTTTGCCTGCCCGCGCGGCGCTCTTGCCGTCGTCCTCACTCTCACGCTTCCGTTTCCTCGACGGCGACGCTGCCACGGTCTCGACCAGGTCAACGCCCGCTAGCGCCTGGCGGAGAGTGCTGAAGAAGAACTTGCTCGAGATAGCAACGTCGGGCGGGAGCGAGGCGCGAGCGGGTGACGGAGTACGATCTTGACGGCCTTCTTGCCAGTCAATCTGCGCTTTGGTCTGCTCTTTCTGGCCTGTGTCTCACTCTTGCCGTCTTCACCCTCGCTTTTCTTGCCCTTCTTCTTCTTAGCCCCGTCCTTCCGTCCGCCAGCCGCCAGCAGTGGCGAAGCCCGCGGCGAAACAACCTCGCCCGTCGCCGTCGTCAGCACCGCGTGCACCCGCCCGCCGCCCAGCACCACAGCAGCCGCTTCCCCGTCCTCACCGCCATGTCTCTCTGCCCCGCTCTTCCTGCTCTGCACATCTCCGCTCCGCTTGCGCTTCATGCCCGCCCCTCGCTCCCGACTGGCCCTGGACGTCAAGTGCCGTAGCCTGCCCACACACACCCGAGTGATCCCGTCGCTCCGCCCGCCTCACCCACCGCCTCATCGACCAGGCGACGACTGCGGCCGGAGGATGAGAGATCCACGGATCAGCGTCGTATTTTAGGCTCGCGAGGAGCGCCACAAGATCGAGGCGAGTGCGGGGGAGTGTGCGACCGATAGCCCCGTGTGTGTGAGTTGCGAAGCTAGTCTCGGTCTAAATCGTCGGCTCGTGGTGCCTATGTCACTCTGACACGATCTGCTGGATCTCCGATTTTTAGGCGATGCCTTGCTTCGCCAATGTCGCCAAGCACTTCAGGTGCGTGGTTAATGCGGCTCGATGGAAAGAGGGGAGTTGTGAGGGCTGTGGAGTGTGGTCTCATTCAGGATCTAGCACCGATCGCGGTCCACTTGCTTGTTCCGTCTGGTGTCCGCGCAAAGGGTGATTCATGGATGAGACATGCGCTCAGAGGTCGGGGAGGCGATTCTGCGGATGGAGAGGTCACTGGGGAGCGAGAGGCCGGCGCCGGGCGCGTCCCAGCCGAGAAGCATAGCCTCTTCATCAACACTACCGACGACGCGCGCGACGGGCTCGCAGTGAGCAAGGTCGCGGCCGTGGGTGTGGAGCCGGACAAGGGCCTGGATGAGAGCGCCGGAGGCGAGCGGTGGCGCCGGCGCGAGGCAGTACCCGGCGCGAGCATGCGACGTGCCCTGTGTGATGAGGGTGTAAATCACCTGTGAGAGCGTGGCCTGGATGAGCGGGAGCTGATCGTGGAGCGGATGGTCGGCTGGCACGCTGGTGAGCCCTTGGCCGCGAAGAACGCCAAAGACCACGCCGGTCACTCCCTGGAAGAGCACTGTTTCACACAGCTTCCAGTCTGAAAACGCTGTGACAAACATCGAGGCCATGACCGGGACCATGGTGATGACGATAAAGTACTCGGCGACGGCGGCGAGGACGGTGGTCTCTGCAGTGTCTGGATCGGCGACGTCTGGGTCTGCAGCGTCTGGGTCTGGGTCTGTAGCGTCGCTGGCAGCAGCGTGCGCGTTGTAGATGGCGGCGAGCGCGGCTTTGACCTCGGGTGGAAACTGGTTGCAGCTATCCTGGAGAACGCCGAGTGCGCGGCGGAGAATGTAGGCAAAGGTCTCGGCAAACTCGAGCGAGCGGAACATGGCGTCGCCTTGGGCCATGCACGCCCGCATCTCGTCGTCGGTCTTGCCGAGGGTAGCGACCCGATCGTTGCGGAGCTCGCGTGCCAGCGGCGCAAAGTGCGCCTCAATGTGGTCAGCCACCGCTGGTGAGGCAGTGACGTAGAACACAAAGTGCAGCGCACGGAGAACAGTGGTCTGGGGGAGGAGCGTCGGCTCGTCGACAAGCAGCCGCTGCGCCAGCGCCGCGAGCCACGCCACATGCAGGCCACGCATGGACAACGCATACGTCAGCGACATCAGCACATCACGAATGGTCGGCACGCCCTGCCCTGCTTGACTCAGCCACGCCACTGCGTACTCGGAGGCAAAGGCGAGAGCATCGGCGTCGGCCACGCCGCCGAGCTCTGGCGGGACGCACAGCATGCGGGCGATAGGAAAGAGCCCTCGAGTACCGATCCGGGCACGTAGCCGCTCACGCCACGTCGCCCGTGACGGACCCGGGCCCAGGCCGCCACAGGCCGCGTCATCAAAGCCAAAGCGCGAGCCGTAGGCCACCCGCCACACGTAGTCGTCGTCGAGCAGAGCCGCCAGAGCCTTTGAGGTACATGCCAGAGCGCCCAGATCACGGATGTCAACAAAGGAGAGGACCAGATGCTGCAACTCTGCCGGAAAGGCATTCCACAGTTCCCATGCAAAGACCTGGTCCTCCATCACCTCCACCTCCCCCGTCTCCATGATGGCCACCCCGTCGAGGGCAACCTTGTCCCGTTCCCCTCTCCTTGCTGATGATGATCGCGCATTACCCATGACAACGACCTCTGTTCACACGCACACTCTTCCTCTTCCTCTTCCTCTTCACTCTCTTTCTCGCTCTAGCCCTTGCTCTCCTTTCCCCCTGTCTGGTGGGGGTGAGGTGGCCGTGTCGGTGTCGGTGTCGGTGTCGGTGTCCCCCCCCTGTCGCCCAACATGGCACCCCCCCCTTCCTCCCCCCCCCCCTTCCCCACTCATACTCACACCTCACACACTCAACTCCAATCCCACCTGTGGTAGTCTGGGCGGTGTGGTGTGTAGTAGAGTCACTCGTGAGCAGACATGGTATGTGTGTTGGGAGGGGGGGGTTGGGGGGGGGAGGGGGGAGGGGACTGGTCCGCACCTGCCGTTGGTGGAGGGTATGGCCAGGGGCATAGGCAGGGGCAAAGCGAGGGCAGGGGCAGAGTAGGGGCAGGAGAAGGGGCATGTGCAGGGACAGGAGAAGAAGAAGAGATGCTCACTCACTGCTCGGAATGGGGTTGATGGTGTTTGATGTGGTTCGATGGGTGGTGGTGCGGCTGTGGTGCGGCTGCGGTGCGGCTGTGGTGCGCTTGTTGTTGTTGTTGTTGTTGTTGTTGTTGTTGTTGTTGTTGTTGTTGTTGTTGTTGTTGTTGTGGGGGAATGGGAATGCGGCGATGGATGGCTATCATCGTCGTCATTTTCATCGTCGTCATCTCCCACCCTCTGCTGGCTTCCTCTGCTGGCTTCCTCTGCCCGGGTTTAGGCCATCACTCTCTCGGTCCTCGAGACAGAGATCGAGAACCGCATCCAGACAGGGAACCTGTACTCGCTGGCAGAGTGCAAGGGCATCCTCGCGTCGCTGCTGAAGCAGATCGCTGAAGAGGCCCAGCGCGACTTTCGCCAGCTGCTGCTGCTCGACGAGCGCCAGCCCAAGCTGCAGCCAGGTGAGGAGCCCATCTCCACCATGGCGTCGTCGTCTGCCGCCGCCCTCGCCTCCATCTTTGACATCCAGACCGCCATGGAGTACACCGGCGCAGACGCTCGCCAGCGACTGCACGCCCTCAAGTCGGACGTCCATCTCTCTATCCTCAAAATCATCCACATCGCCCAAGAGCAAGCTAAAGAGCGCCTCAAGCTCATCCACCGCATGATCGGCTCCATCCCGCCCTCGGACGCCTCGCCCGATGCCGGCAACCGCTCTGCCCGCCGCTCCAAGTCCAACAAGCAGGTCATGTTCTAACTCCCCTCCCCCCCCC